AATCTGCCTGCCCTGTGTGTAAGATCCCACGTGCCCACCGGCCCCCAGGGACACTGGAAGAGCCAGCCCATGTCAGGTAAATAGGAGTTACTGCCTTGTAACATGTAGAACTCAAGGAAACAATAGGGAAGAAAAAGCTGATCAGGTGAAGGAGAAAACAGCATCACAACAGCTCTGTAGGAGGTTGCTGTTCTCAAGGCAGAGATACATCTTGCTTAAAAATTCCTCACTGATCTTTTCCATGAGCACAAACAGTTTTGAAGTCAATGAGAAATGCCTGTTTAAACCAAATTTGGTTCAGAATCTGAACGCGAAGTGTCTAATGCCCTGATCCAAAACTGTTTTGCTTGGTTCACTTTGGGATTAGACCCTTGGATTCTGAGTGGGGAAGGCAGATTTCCTCTGCCTTGTCAGAGGTGCAGGCACTTACTTCCCTTGTGTGGTTGCAGGGTCAGCATTCCCAGGAATACCCTTTTGCCTGCCCACAAGTACAAAGCCCATCGCAGGAGGAGCTTTGAGCCAGCAGACGATCTGGCCTTACCCTCGGTGAGTTGCTGTTCTTGCTGGTGGCACAGCCCAGGCTGGGCACTGCTTTAAGAGGGAAAGAAAATCTGTGACTCATTGCCCTGGCAGGGCTTCCACTACAATTTCTGACCTGTGTCACTGAGGCAGCAAACCCATTGGTGTGTTCTGAGTTGGTGCCTTTGTGGAAGTGGCACAGGGTGTGTGACATATTTCCAGTGCTTTACACTGCATGAAGGCAAAGTACCACGTGGAGCTGTGTCCTTCTGGGGCAGATTTGACTGGCTCAACGTGGTGATCCACACCTAGGAGTGCCTGTGTTTCCTTCCACAGGTGTCAGGGAGTCTGGAAGGAGAGCATCCATGAAGCATACACAGTGTAATCGGTAGTGACAAGGGGTGGATTTCAAACTGTTATTGTAGAGCTGGTCCTGTATTCCAGCCAGTAACCAGTGCTAGGCAGTATTGCTAATCTGACCCTGGCCTAAAGACTTCCAGGGAAGAGGTGGGAGGAAACTTAGTTTTGAGGTTTAGGGAACTGGATGAGTCAGTTGAGACAGGTTCAGAGAGGTCGGGTGCTTGAGTTCACAAAGCAGGAGATCAGCTTAGAAGTAACCAGCCAGTGAAAGGTGGAAGAGGAGAGGGACAGTTTTGCTTCATTAGAGATTTCATCATTTTCCTGTTAGTCATATAAGACTCCTCAAAAATTAATTAATTATTTTAACAATTGCCAAAGCTTCCCTGTGCAGAAATTATTATTTAGAACTATGTTTAGGCCACAATAGATACAAAAGGGTAGAGCATTTCCATCTCTTTTCACAGCACTGCCTGGCTGGCTGGGAAAACATCATCCCCCCAAGCAACCCCAGGCTCAGCAGTTTGGATCTGAGAGCTTCCCTGGAAGAGAGGCCTTCTCCCCATCCTCACCTGGTAAGCACAGCCTCCAGAGTCCCTGGAGATGCTGGGAGTTGCACAGATGGAAATTGCTGTCCCACCTCTAAAGGGTTTGATGATTATCAAGCTTGGGCTGAGCAAAGGAAAATTTATCACCACTGGGAAACATTTTCCTTCTTCTCAACCAGTGTGCACAGGGACAAAAAAACAAGGGGCAAAAAGCCTGTTCAGCTCACCAGAGTTCATCAAAGAGAAGTCACCGTGGCACTCTTTGATTAATACCCTCTTCATTTGGCTTCCAGGACTCGCTGCCCAGAGTGTCCAGAGGAAGTGAGGAGCCCCTGCCCCCCTTGGCACGTCCCAGGTCCAGCAGTGCCTCCCCTCGGAGGAAGCAGAGCAGGCGGGGACGCCGGAGAGCAGCTCCCGGGTCAGACCAGGCTGGTTTAACCTCAACTCTGTGAACCACAGACCTGACTGCCCAGGGGAAGGGGTGGGCACAGCACGTGGGAACAACTCACAGACGAGGCAATTCGGATAAAAAATGAATCTTGGCACAGATTTTGCCCGACGGGTTTCCGCGACCGCGCGGTGACCGGTGCGCGCGCGGGAGTTTGTGCAGTCCAGTGGGGGGGTTCACTTCTCTTCTTTGCCTCTTGCAGCTGCTCCTGAGAGCTGTCCCACCTGGGGCTGGCTAAAGGGATGTGCCCAGGATGAGTAGGGACAGCCATGGTAGTCCTGCCACCTCCACTGAGTCACCACCACTGTAACTCGACTCTTGAGTGCCAGGGGAGGAACTGGCCTGTGAAGGGCCTGGTTCAGTGGAGTGACACAGATATGGTGATTTCCAAACGTTTGAAACGTGACACTTAAGTTTCTAGTGCCTTAAACTTGAGTTCCTGAATAATTTAGTTAAAATTAAAAAAATCCTATTTATTTTCAGTGCAATGTGTGCAGCTACAGAGTAACTATAAGTGTGAAAAAAACATGTTAAAATGAGATTTTATTCATTGGCAAGCTAGATAATGTTAAAGCCTTAAAATGTTTGCAAATTGTGCTTGCCTCTGCTTTTCCAAGTTTGTTGGGAGATAAACCAAAAAACATTTTGGAGTTTTTAAATTGTACCTAAACAAAATACATTACATAGTACAATTAGTTTGAACTTCATGGACTGATCTTACTTTCCTTGCCTAAAACCAATAAAACTGATGTTTTATTTTGCCTTGAATTTTCTGAAACAGAAATTCCTTCCTCAAATGTGTTTCTGGGACTGACTTGAGAGAATGGTTTTGCAGAGAGAAATGGTTTATGCAGCTTCTTGGCATTCACTGTTATTTTTATATCAAATACATTATTTATTGAATCAAATGTATGAATAGACTTTTTTAAGCAGACAGGAATATTGCAAGATGATGAAATTTTAATGTAAGACTTGGAATGGAAAATGAAAAGCTAAACTGACTAATTTAGCTTTGAGTTGTGCATCTGTAGGGTGAAGTGAATGGAACTGGCAATGTGATTTCCATTATTGGAAATACTGATTTTAAAAGAAATTAATCAAGTGACCATAAAACAATAGCTGCCAAATTTTAAACTGAATAGGGCAAATTCAACATTTTTACTACATTGCCTAACCCAAAACACTAAACATTAACCTTAATTAACCTTTTATTAATTTATCCTGAAATAAATTAAAGCAGGTCTGCTCCACTTATCACAGAAAAGGAGCTGCTGTAGATTCAGTAAATGATGTGAATCTGTCTGGTGGATGCAGGTTGGAACCAGGTGAATTCAAACTGTCTCTTGATAGCTGGGAATACATCAGTCTCTTACACTTGTGAAAGCATTGGAAGTGAGATTGTGGCTCTTTCTCCCCTAGGAACAGGTGAAAGGAGTCAGTGATGCTGCCCCTCCTCACTCAGGTTTGTCTCAGGGGGTTGGTTCTGGCCTCTGTCATCCTGCCCTTTTTTGCAAGCTGGAACAGACTGAAAATGCTCCTGCTTGTGGAACCTTTTTCTTAATTCCTGTTCCCCCACATCCCTCCATTGCACAGCCTCTGGAGCAATGACTCCCAGGCCTGCACAAGCTGCCTTTCAGCCCCGTGCTGTGAGGAGCAGTTTGTGGAGACAGGAATGGTTTATAGTGTAATAACAAGGTTTTGCACAGTGGCTTTGTCCTGTAGTGTGTGACACAATCCCAGACAATGCACCCTTCCCTGCAGGAGGGTGACTGACATGTCACCTGGGGGTGCATTGTGAAGGAACTCATCTGTTTACTGCTTGGAAAACTGCATTTCCTCCAGTGTTAAAGCAGCTTCAGCACTTGGACAGTGATGGAGCCAGTGCTGGGATCAGCACTTCCAGGGAGAACAGAGGCTGGGGGTGGTGTGTTGGGGTTGTTTGGATTGTGGGTCAGAAAAATGGGAACGTTTTGAGATTGGGGGTGTCTGGAAAGGAGACGAAGCAGAATTGAGATGGGTGAGACCTTTGCTGATCTGGGGCTCAAAGTGTGTAAAGGAAAAGTTCCCAGTAACGTCCCAGTATATCCAGGGCTGTCCTAAGGCACAAACTAATACAGATGCTGGACTTTGTTGTGCAGGCACAGGGCTCTGGGACAGCTTGTCCCTTGCTCCTGGAGGTAGGCTTGGCCTGGGTTTATGTTTTTTCCCACTCCTGGCACTTGGGAACGTGCTGCTTTAACCTGGGCAGCTGTGTGTCCTGTTGAAGGCTGACTCAGTGTGTGTGTGCTCGTTTGTGTCAGCTCTCTTCTGCCTGATGCTTTGATGGTAAAGCCAGTGGTTTAGTTCCCCTTTCTGGCTGTACTGCATGTCTATAACACTGATTCATGGGGTGGGAAATCCAGCTTTGCTTAATTAGGCAAATGAGACACAGTAAATGATGCATTAGTGATTGGTTTGAACAGAGATGTGTAGTTAAACCCCAGCTCCCATCTGCTTCTCAGAACCAATGTCAGACTGTCACTGGTGTTTGTGTTTGCTCTCTCTGACTATTTTAAGATAATTTTGGTGATATCTCAGGATCAGGTGTTTCTTGCTGTCAGTACATTGTAAGAATTAATATCAGGAGTGTTGAATGAGTGTAGTGCTGATTTCTGGCTTCTGTTTCGTTCTCAGCAGGCAGGGACTGTCTCCAGAACCCTCAGGTGAAACATCCGCGTGTGGCACCAACTCACTTTCTGAATCATTTGCAGACTTTGATTTTGGGGCCTTTCATCTCTTTGGAACTTTTGTTTTCAGAGCCCAGAAGAATTTATTTTCAGTGTGTGTCGAGTCTGAAAACACAACAGAAGTTCTGCCCCTTCTCTTTGGAGTTAAAAGTCTCCATTTCACCAGTTTCCTGGGTAGTAGCAGACCAAACATAAGGACTTGGTTTTCTCCTTCAGCTGGTGTATTCCATTGGTTCTGCAGAGCAAACCTTGCTGCTGGGAAGAGGAAAATAACACCCTAAATTGTCAGGATTGAGATGCTCAGCTGTAGTCATTTAAAAAAAAAAAAAGTTTCACACTCTTTGAAAAAAATGCATCCTGAAAATCTTCCCATTTGTTTCTTTCACAAAAATTATTTGATATTTCCCAGCTTTCTTTTGTTTGTGTCAGCAAAGGAAATCTCATCTTGCTTCTGCTATTAGGTAAGCTTTAAACTCAGCTTTTAGATGAGGAGAACCAGAGTATCAAGAAAGGATTTGAGTTACCCAAAACATCTGTGACAGTACTGGGGACTAATGAGTCCCACTCCTGTGTTTTAACCCCCTTGCCAGTCTTCCCCAAACGTTTTTTATTTTCAAATTTGGATTTAAATGTAGAGAATTGAAACTGTTGGTGCTTTCCCAATTCCCTCGATCAAGAGCTTTGCCTGTGGAGAATGACCATGTGGAACTATCCCACCCCTCCAGGAGCTGTAGTCAGAATTACTGAAAGTACAGACATGATGTGATCTCCCATCTAAGGTCATTTCTCTCTCTCTCCCAGCCTGTGGGCATAGTAATTCTGTGATATGGTTTTGGTTTCCTTCATGGAAGCCAAGCCTTTCTTGAGAGAACTGAGTTCTCTGTCAGCTCTTCTCATTTTTCAGTCTGACTCAAAATGTACTTTAGTTTTGAAGCTACTACAGGCCAGAAAAAGTCATTTTATACACATTTATTTTGTTACATTAGTTATTTTATCACTTTATGTAAGGCAGTAGTATTAGTTGAGATAACAAAAACAGTTATAAGAACTTTGTTATCCACATAAAATTTATATACATGACATCTGCAAAAGAAATCTAATTGAAAATTAAGCCATGTTATCTGTATTATTAACATGATAACCTTTTTTTTTTTTTCCCTGATGGTAATTCTTGTTTTAAGCCATTGCTACATTTCAACAAGTGGACAACAAGAACTTCACACCACCTTCCTTGCTGAGGACAGGGGACAAACATACCAGTGTAAATTGCTGAATCAATACAGCTCTGCAGGTCATGTTCTCAAGAGCATCTGGAATGTATTTAACACAGAGCAGAGTGGCTGAAGTGCCAAAATTAAATGGATTGACAAAGACTTAACACTAAGAAGAAGAGAACTGTATGTGCCAGCAAATAAATATCAGTACCAGAGTGACAGAGTAGAGGGACACAATTTGGCCAGTCTGTGGCATACTTGGCATAACTGAGATTTTATTCCTTTTAACGAGTGTAATTTCAGTGCTGTGTCACTGCAGGCAGTTCAAACCCTGATGGCTCCCTCACCTCATGAAGTGTCTCAGTGAGGTCACGTTGCACCAGTGCTGCCCTCCCTCCTGCCTGTCCTTTCTGGGCCAGGGAGAGATTTCCAGAGAAGTTCAGTCCGTTGGCTTCCCTTGCAATGCCCAAAATCCCTGGGCTCTTGTGTGTTGTCACCACAGTGTCACTTTGCAGGATGCCCAGGGACAGAGCTCCCCCGTAATGCACAACGAGATCAAGAAAGTAATTCTTGGGTTTCTTCCTTTCTTCATTTTTTTTTTTATTTTCCTTCTTTTAACCGTGAGATTCTCTGTGGTTTTTATTGCAGGAAATGCCTTCATTTCTCTTCTCTTGTTTAATTTATCCCCCCAAAGTGCACGGCATTTTTCCCAACAAGCACTGCCTTTGGTGCTCCTGGTGCTCCTGAAGCCCCTGGAGCTTCAGGGTCTGGTCTTGTTCCCCCTGGCTAAGGAGCAAGAATTTGGTGATGTTTTTTCTCAGCATACTGCAATGCTCCAAATAGCAACACTGACAGACACTGAAATACAGATTTTAGACAAGGTGTTTTAATACATGTCCTTCCAAACTTCATGGCCTCTTTTATCTGTTGGACAAGGGTTTAGAGATGACACTTTTCTCTGTGTGTTTTTCCTCTGATACAGCTGGACCCATATTAACTGAACATACATGTTTAAACCCAGGAGAAACCATGCTAAAAGTACAACATGAGACTAAAATCAGCCACTTCAAAATTAGAAAATGGCATGAGTACTTTTGCTTGAGCACATGTGTTCCAGTGCTGCTTCTAGAGCATTCCATGGCTGCTCCCTTTGCTGGGCTCTCCCCGTTCAGTGAACAGGCAGTGCTGAAGGGATGCTTTGGGCACGTGGTGGAGACTTTTCCTCGTGGCTTGGTTGGGTCTCTGCATCCTCTTGCTCCAGGAATCAAGTGACATTTGAACAACTGCTGACTTACAGGACCTTCTGTGATCCCTCTCAGCTCCAAGCAGCTCACACTGACCAGATACCCTATGCAGAAAACACCTAAGCTTGGCATGAACTAAATAAGTTAAAATACAAACTGCCAAGGAACCTTATCTTGGGGCATTGCTACCTTTTAACACCCAAAGCAAAAAGGGATTCAGACATTAACAGATGCGTGCAATCAAATTAACATTATAAATAATAATATCATGCTCATTAGGGGCTTCCCCTTTTCTCTGATAGATGTTGTCCCCTGATGGAAGACCAGAGAAATAGGGGTTGTTTGTTTGCTTCTGTTTGTTCTGCACTTTTGTTGTTTTCACATGAACACAGAGGACTATTTTCTAGGAAACGCAGCCGACGTGTGGAGAGCAGCAGCGTGGGCTTGTTATAAACTGGAGGTGCTTCTTCCAGTTACTAACAGAGCTTCCTTTGGAAAGCCCCTTTTGTTGTATTTCAAATCAAAACACGCAAAGTCTGACATGAATGCATTCAGCTGGAAGTGCAGGCTGGGATGTTCCCGTGAAACAGCCTCTCCATTGCTGTTCTTTTATTGCAGGCCTGAGACAGCACTGTGTGAGGTACCAGCCTTTCTGAAAAAACAGCAGCAACAATAAGCCCTTTCCACTTCCCATCCTTTTAAGTGTCTGGTTCAATCAAGAATGAGCTTGAGAATAAGAAGTTCAAGGAAAAATGGCAGCTGGAAGCCTGGTTTCACTTTGGACGTGTGAGTGGATTCTTTCTTCTGAGGAGGACTGATCTCCTCCTGCAGCCTCTCCCTCAGGGAGCTTGTCATGAGCACCTTGTCCCTTCATCCAAGTCATCTCCTTCTGTGAAAGCTTGTAAATCTTAATGGCACCCCCTCCTCAGCCAAATTTGATTGAAGTTATCCAGTGGGTTCAAAAATTATTGACACCATTCGTTAAAAAGGAGCTGATATACGTATATGTACATCTACCAAATGCTCAGTGTGCTTGTTTCAGTCTTACTTTATCTGGAAAACGGGCCAGAAAACTCTCCCAGTTGCCAGTTCTGGGAAAGTCTTTCACACACAGTGTTTTTTGTACTCACATACTTACTTTTTGTATCAGATACTCTGACCTCAGCAGTGGAACTTAAACCTTCCAGGCTGTCTCTTTGTGTTGGTGCCTGTCCTTTTGCTAGAAGAGCTTAGATAGGGGCTGAGCAGAGAAAAAATACTCAGAGAGGAGAGAAAAAAAGACAAGCAGAGCTCACCAATTGCCCTGATCATTATGTCATTTGAAACTGCATTTACAGATTGGGAGAATTGCTTAATGGCATATTATTACAGAAGATTAAGGTGTTTTCTAGCCCATTATTTAATTGGGAAAACCAAGAACGTGATACTCTGACATTCAAATACTTTGTTGTCTCTGGGCCTTCCAGGCATATCTACCCCAACAGCTTTTATAGCTAAGAGAACTTAGAAACTGAGCATTACAGGGAAGGGAGGAGAGTGGAGTTACATGTCAAATACACTCCATGCAATGTGCTGAAAATGCCTGGGGTTTATACAGTGGTATTCTGGAGAAAGAAATCCAGGTAGTTAGTCAAAAAGACCAAGAGTCACAGCTGTGAGTTACAGAGGATATTTACACAGGGTCCCTGTGGAATGCTCACCTTTGGTGCTCATCTGTGAGGCAGTGGGGTAGCTCTGGGTCTTCAGTAAAATAATCATTTGTCCAACTTTCAATCTTCCCTCATTTCTTTCGGTTTTCTTTTTGCTGATAAGGGTGAGAAGCAACAACAAAAAAATTAAAACCGAACCCAGAGGTGTGAGAATTCAAATTGTCATGATTTTCCTGTGTACCTCAGAGAGGTTTTCAAGGCACTCTGCTCTTTTTGAAGTGGCTAACCTTCACTTCTGACAAAACTCCTAGGGCAGATAAGAAGGCTTCATGACACATTCAATCAACTGAAATCTTTCCAGGTACCAGAGCACAAACCACCCAGAGTGACAAATGAAAATGAGCAAAATGGTGAGTAGCAAACCTAGGCATGATTGTCAGCAGAAGGAATTTATTTCCAGTGGGATTGGAGGGAAGGGAAGGATTCTCAAGAGGATGGTCTGTGACATGTTGGTGTTTAAGTGGCAACATGTGCAACATGTGGCAGTACGTAAAGCCTAAACCTTGGTGGAGTCTCCCAGGCTGGTTGTGAGTCTTCACCCGCTCATGCAAACAGGAGCAAAACGACTGCACTGAAACAATGAGTGTCTCTTACTGGGAACTCTCCCGGGGCTTGGTCGCGGCTCTCGAAAAACTGGCGGCTGGATGGGGCAGGGCTTGGCCTCGTGCCTGGCCCAGACTTTGGGTTGGTGAAGTGCTCTCTGAGGGCAGCCCAGATGACTCAGGAGGCGCCGGCACAGCCAGCCCTGAGCCTCGGGGTGCGACCTGGGTGCTCACACCCGGCCCACAGGCACCCGACAGCGCCGGGACCCGGCGCTGAGGCGGTTTGGTTTTGTTCTTTTTTTAGGTTTCTTCTGGGGGCAGCCCCCCCTCTCCCTCCTTCCCTCCTTCCTAAATTGTTTTCTCACCTCGCTTGAGTCTCAAAGCCTGTCCCTTGCTTGTCTTGAACAGCTGGAATGGCCCTGGGCTGAATGAACAGACACGGAGCAAGGCTGGGCTGGAGCCTGGAAGGATCTCGGCTTCCAGAAGGAGCAACCTGGCTGTGCCACCTGCAATGCTGGGAGCCAGGGATATCTAACACCACCTCAGATGGCTGCCTGCAGCCTGGCACTGGCACTGCAGCTCCTGCTGCTTCTCCAGGACATCCAGACATCCCTGCAGGTAAGGCAGGGAGGCACCAGGATCCTGCAGCCCCTCAGGACGAAGGAGCCTGGGGAGGGCTGGAGGCAGCCGGGGCTGCAGGGCTGGGGGTTGGAGAGTGGGTGTCCACAGACACAGGGTTTGTGCAATGTGGGGGGATAAAGGCATAAAGCAGAGCAGCCAGAAGAGTTTGCCCTCTCTGGGAACTCTGCAGGCAGGAGCAGGGGCTACGAGCTGGGATCTGCATCCCCGTGTTGGCATTGCTGGAGTTCCTGCAGCTCCAGGCACATCGCAGCTGGGGAGGGAGGGTTTGCTTGGGGTAGGGGGGCTTTTATTTCTGCCTGTGTGCTCTGTGAAAGGCACATTCCTTGCAGAGCTTCGTTCAGAGGCTGCTGCTCGCTCTGCTGAGGCGAGTCAGGAAAGGCAAATTGAAAGGTGTAGAGGCAAAACCATAACAGACCTTCCTCTTTACAACCCCCCCCCGACTCTGACTTCCTCATGAATCCACTATTCTTTCTGAATCAAAATCACTTAAAATAGACACGGCCCTGCAGCTGCACTCAGTGATGCTGTAGGTGCACACCAGCTCCCTGCTCAGATCGTATCAGCTCCTGTGGCTTTGCTGCCACTCACCCCCCTCCTCCCGTGGGTCCCCTGGCAACGAGCCCTCAGCACCTGGCATAAATCCAGGTAATTTCCCTGGCCAACACCGAGGCATGCACGTTAAAAAAAACAAAGGTCAGTCCCAGAGACTCTCTGCACAGGTACAGTTAAGTAGGTGAGTAATCACCCTCTGTGCTGGATCCTGAAATGGGCCGTTTTCCCTTGCTGGGGAAATATGAGCATATATTACCCAAACAGACCCGTCTGTCTGAATAATAAAACATCACTTGGGCTGCCAGGAGGTATTTTACAAGACATTGACTCCAATTAGGTCTTTGAAAATAACCAAGTCCTGCATCCTCTTCATAGGCATTTGAAAAAGGTCCTCTTGGCTCTTTTGGTAAGAGTAGGAGTTTGCTCTTGCATCTGTAGTTGTAAATTCCCCTCCCACGTGGCAAGTTTGCTCTACTTTCCCCTCCTTATCTGTCCTGCCACTGTCTCCTTCCTGAAGTACAGAGGGATTGGAGTCTGTAGTCCTTGCTCACCTGGGGAGTACTTGGGAGGGCATTCAGATAAACTTGTCTGGCCTCCTGAATGCAAACTGCTTTAGGAGAAAGGCAAAAGAAAAAAAAAAAAAGGATGATATTTTTGCTAGTTGATGTTATTTCTGGTATTTTTTTAACAAAATGAAAGGAGCTGTGAGAAAATCTGGGTTTTTTTGATAGTCATTGTCAACATGCAGACTCACTGCAAAATCATCAGCTGAGACAAGCAACTGGCTTTTACTGTCCTTCTGCATTGCCTCAATCACAGAAATACCTGCTTTTACTGATACTGGAGTACAGGTGATACTATTTAATGTGAGCTAGTAACAGCTTACTGGTCATATTTTTAAACCATGTTCCACCTTACTTAAGTCCACAGTTTGGGTTTTGTTTCTTTTTCTATTCAGTGAACTCTCATTTGTGATAAGGTCTTTATTATCAAACAGATGGAGCTTGACAACTTGAAGCCTTAGATTACCAGCTTCTTCAGTACTGTCAGAATTTGGCTAGAAGCTTGACAGGCAGTTAACTGTTTTGCTGCAGTATTAGTCAGTTCTAGAATAGCCACTGCTGGTAGAAATCTTTTTTTTTACTGTAATGTGCTTTCTTCCTGACTTACAGCTCATTTGTAGCAAATTTCGTGCTCTGCCTCACCATCACTTTTTCTCTATGAGCTCAAAAGGCCATAAATAAATGAGTCAAACCTTGTCCTGACTGAATTGCAGAGTAGCCCGCTGAATTCAGCACCATCTTTACAACTGCCATTATTTAATTTGGAATAGCAAACATGTTTGTAGAACCAAGGAAAGTGAGAAGAGCTACAAAAAGCCTACTTTCTAAAACAAAGTCTCACAAGCCAGCACTGAAAAACCCAAATGCTTTGTATCTAATATGTCTGCTCTATTTAATTGGGCCTCGATCTGCAACACATTTAGAAAAGAAAAATAAGTGGCCTGTTAGGTCACTGAAAGCACTAAACCAGGGGATCCCTGGGGATGCTGACACAGAGCAGTCCAAGTAGGATAGCAATTGTGGTCTTTCCTTTCACCACATGTATTCCAGCTCCTGCTAAGTCCCAAACCTTTATTTGAAGAGCATGCATGAAAAATTAGTGAAATTCAGTCTCTGTCTCGCTGCAGTTGAACAGCACACTGAATCCAATTGAAGAATTCCTTGTACTAGAGCAAAACCAGATGTAAATTACTGATCTGACAGCGACTCATGACTTGTTCAAATCTGTTCAAAAGGTGTGGACAGATTAATTTTGTGGTGAGAAGCTCTCTGCTGCACTGGGGATTGTTTGCTGCTCCAGCTCCCCTTCCTCTCAGCTCACACATTTATCTGTTCCCCTGCAGCTGGCACAAAGCAGCATCACCTCTGCACTGTGTCCTCCTGTCCAACCCAGAGCAAACCCACTCTGACACGGGACACAGACGCAGAAATAACGGCTCTGAGGTTTCCCATCACAGCTGACAGAGACCTGTCACACCCAGGGCAGGAGTCAAACAGCTTCAGGATTTAGAGGGGAAAAGCTGACAAGAATGGGGACGTGATGACTGAGGCTGAGCATTGATATGTGTGTGATTTATCACTGAAAGGGTCCGTGCTAATTTTTATACTCATGAAACACCCCTACTGAACAGGGGGCAACCTTAAAGCCATTTTGCAGGTGACTTGGATTAGAAGTGGTGGTGCCTTCAGGAGGTGGTTTGTCAGCCATAGAAATCCTGCCATGATTTGTTAAAGTGAATTCTTTTCACAGCTCAGTGAACAGTACAAGGCTGTGCTGGATGCTTGAGAGCAGCATTTGCTGGGGAGGTGTGGATGATGTGTATAATGTAGCTGTAGGGTAGAGCTGCCCTCCTGTGGAGAGGGGGGAAAGAAGGTTCAGTACTCTCTTTCTTATGTATATTTTCATAAATTGTGTGGTATCCATATCTAGTTCATGCAGTAATTTATCACTGCACTGGCATCAGGTCAAATTCATAATCATAACGTGCACTGCTGTATCCAGGAGCAGAATCTAACCCTGAACTCCCGATTTCCATATTTTAGAACAAGGTAACTTTTTAAAAAGCTGTCCTTCCCTCATACTTTTACACAGGCACTCTTCCTTCATTTAAACCCAGAAACACACAGATATACTGTAAGCTTGTGTGCTGCACAAATAATTCAAGAATTTTGTTCCCACCCTGGTTTAAAATTCAGCTGCATTTGCAGCCAGAGTTGGTTGCCCAGGAAGAGAAAATCATGTGTTTGTGGTGACTTCCCACAGGTCTTACAGAGAATCCAATCCAGGCTGATTAGCTACAGCCAGGATGCTGTAGCCTCTTAAATTTTCTTTCTAAAACCAGTGAATTCACATCACTGTGGTGGCTCAGGAATGACCCCTGGTGTGGTGGCTGGTGGTTTGGTGTCGCTCACTTCGGGCTCAGTGGCTGCCTGGCCAGGCTGGAGCCACACACAGAAGTGAGGAGATCCCACTTCCCTTTCCTGCAGTCTGGGGCTTCCTCTTCAGAACAGGAAAACACGGGGGGCACGTGTGGAAGTGAGATCTGAGTCAGGCTGAGCAGGCAGAGCCTTCTGCTCTTCCTCTGCAGTCAGACAGGAAAAACACTGGTAGGGAGGTTCTGGCCCAGGGGTGATGCAGAGATGTGTCACATTCTCAGTTCTGTTACTGGTGGAGATCAATGAAATTTAATGGTTTCAATGTGTTTCTATTTCTTGCCCTTCTGTTCATTTCCTCCTTGACTGAAAGTTCTGTTTTCTGATGGAAGTTAAATAATTTCTGTGTGTTAGACTAGGCTGTGAAGTGAGTTAGGTAGTGAGATTCTGCACAGTGTACAAAGGCAGCAGGTTTTATTTCAAAGCCCAGTGGGGAATTCATCAGCAGAAAGTGAGATGGAGAGTTTCTGAAAAATTTAACTGCTCTACCAGTATCGTGTCGGAAAATCTCAGGGGAATCTGCTGATTGATTCTTCACAAAAAAATCGCTGTTTATGCCTTCTAGCAAAAAGTGAAAATGAAATTCAGATAATAACAGTTTTAGGGGATTATTAAGGGAGATGCCAAATTCAAAAATCAGATTTTCTCATCAGAACACTTGTGGCACCGTAATTTCCCAGAGCATGTGGCGGCCCAGCCATACAAAAACAAAGTCTTGTTATAATGTTTCTTGTTCCAATTCGTAGCCCAGTCTCGTTTCCTAAGCCAATATTAGAACTGTTGTGTGGTGGGGTTTTTTTTAACTAAACCAGTATCGGTTATGTAGTAACGAAAGGTTATTTCTGAAAACCTTCACTCACAACAGAAGTGGGATGAGTTATTTGAATAAGAGCTTCATTGTGAGAACATTTGCAGCATTCTTTCCAAGGCAAAGCCCTCTTGTGTTCTCAGTGTAGGATTTGCCCCTAAATGATAAATAAAACAGTTAATTGGTTTATAATAAACACGTCCTTAGGTTGATAAATTCAAGCATTATGACTGCACAAATAACAGCAAAACCTGTTTGCTGCCAAGAGTTACCTCTGTGCATTACAGCCCATCTGCCTGGGTTCAGGTGATGCTGAGTATGGCACCACCTTTTACTCCACTGCACACAGAGCTGGAAATCCATTACAGAGGTCAGGGATTGTTTCTTGTTTCCCTAAAAAATCCTTATCTCAAATGAACACGGGACCATTTCAGGACAATGATTTTTATCCTTGATTTATAAAGGAGATGCAGACATTAATTTAGTTGCTTTGGGGATACTTGAAGTTTCAAAAAGCTGAGGGCTTTTCCTTACCATCTGCAGCTGCCATTGCTTGGGACAGGTATTGGGATCTGCCCTAGTACAGAATTAGTTGTTTTCTGATTGTGTCTTTTGCCTGTCTCACTTTCTAGACATCATTAACCCCATCTCATTCCTGTGACACACGTGGGAATTGGTTCTATGATGAAACTTCACAAAGCTGCTGTTACCAGTGTCCCTCAGGTCAGTATGTTTATAAAATAATCAAATTTACATGGAGTCTTTCTTGGACAGACAGTAGGAACTCTGTGTATCTGCAGAATTGCATTTTGTCCTTGAAAAAAAAGAGCAATTTCCTGAATCACTGTCTAATTGAATCTAGATGTGAATCTGTTCTCCACTGCCCTGCTCCTGTGCATGCAAACAATGAGCAAATTGCAAACTAGAGAACTTGGCAGACTTTTAATGTGCTTTTTATCACTTCACTGGACACTGAAGCAGCCAGAAATAGGCAGAATTCATTTCAGCTTCCCTCAGGGTGTGAAATAGCACAGTGAAATTAGACTCAGTGAGTTTCTGCTCACAGACAAAAAGTACAAAATGAAGGCATGGAAAATCTGATATTATTCTCACAGTCACAACAGTTTAGAAAGTGTCTCACGTGAGGGAGGAAGGGAACAGCCCTTGTCTGGGGACACTGAGAGCTTTGCTAGAAGCTGGTTGTGACTCAAAGGCACATGAGGTCAGAGCAGGAAACACCTTGGTGAGACAAGAGCTCTGGAAATGTCTGAAACTGCCTCTATTGGCCAAAAAACCCCTCGGTGGGTGGGGCATTTTGTGGTGCTTCACCACCATCAGTATCTTCTCTCAGAAATCTGTTCTTTTTCTTTTGTTTCTCTTAAAGGAAGTTTCTGACATTTATTTGAGCTCTGATAATACAGAGGGGTTTAGTGTTTGATTGCCAGCGTTTTTGTGCAGTTCCATCAGGATTCCCACTGGGACATCCTGTACTGCTGGCCACACCTTCCTTCAGAAGTTGTACAGGTAAACAAGAGCAAGGGATGGAGAAAATAAGAAAAGAGGGAGCTTGTGACTCAGAGACAATCCCAAGGAAAGTTCTTTTCTTCTCCAAAACCATTCTTTGCCAAAGCTCCTGTCAAGACAGATGTCATAGTGAGGTTTGTGAGAAGAAGAGATCTGATTTACATCAATAAGCCACGAGTATCCATCATTTCACCTCTGCTGATTCTTGTCACTCATTCCTTAGCTACGTCCTCATGTCAGTCCTGGACATCTCCTCACATCCTCTCCACAATAAAAGTTATAAGAATCCTTTTTCATTTTAATCTTCCACTACTCCTCCACACAATAACCTGTTCATATCTGCTACAAACTCAGCTGCTCACTGCAAAGGAAGAGCAGCTTTTCTAAAAGTCCTTTTAACTGAAGGAAAGAGGAAACCATGAAAACCAATCACCTGGGAACTCAGGAATGGCAGGACAATTGCCCTCACTGCAGACTTGGTGGTCTTTTCTGTCAGCAAATGAGTTGCCACGTGCCCATTCTGCAGCAGCCCATTCCAACTGGGATAATGTCCCGCCCCAGGACAGCTGTGAGCCTTTCATGCTCAAATGGGAAGGGCAAAAACGTGCTAGAGAAACCAAATGACTGTGGTAGGGTGTCTAACAGGTAAAGGAGCACACAAGACACTTCAGGGTGGTTGTCTCCCATTATTCTGAACAGGTGTCCTGCATATTTTGATTTGTTGATTTATTTTTTTTTCCTCCAGGCTCTGTTAAAAAGAAAGCTTGTCCTGAGAACCCAGCTGCAGACTGCATGAGGTGTGGGCCTGGGCAATTTGTGAACACACAAGTCTCGAAGCTACGATGTGATGCCTGTGTCTTATGCAAAAGAGGTTTGCTTTCCCCAACACATACCTCACAATTATATTCCCTCTATGTATTTTATTTGCACTTTGTTCGTATTTTATTAATTTAGAATTTCCAGCAGCAGAATTATCCATCCTTGGTTACTGATTTAGAGAGCAGAATGATACCTTGGCACATTATCAGTGTGGCTTCCTGTGTGACCTGGGGACTACCTAAAAACTCTCTTCTCCAGTGCTATCCAATCTGGATTCTACTCTCTGTCTTATACCACAAGCCATTGTCTAAAGGCTTCTCCAATTATTCATGACTTAAGTTGCCATCGTGTGGCTTTAAACTGACAGAGAGTAGGCTTAGATTAGATAATGGGAGGGAATTCTTCCCTGTGAGGGTGGGGAGGCCCTGGCACAGGTTGCCCAGAGAAGCTGTGGCTGCCCCATCCCTGGAAGTGTCCAAGGCCAGGTTGGACGGGGCTTGGAGCAGCCTGGTGGAGTGGAAGGTGGATGGGATGGCAGGGGGCTGGAACGAGATGAGCTTTAAGGTCCCTTCAACCCAAACCATTCCGGGCTCATGAGGAGTGCCAGCACCTTGTTCTGCCTCCTGAGCCTTTGAACTGCTGTCGCTCAGCTTTGGCCCCCTTTTGCATTTCCCTTGCAGGGTGATCCTTTGTCACTGCCTCTGTTTCTTGCCCCCAGAACTCGACCTTGTGGAGAAGGAGCCCTGCTCCTTCAACTCCAGCAGTGTCTGCGAGTGCAGGCCGGGCCTGTTCTGCCAAACATCCGCCCCACACACCTGTGCCCGGTGCCAGCCCCACACCACCTGCCAGCCTGGCTTTGGGGTCCGAGTCAGAGGTAGGAATTCCACTTCACCTTCCCCGCTCTTGGCCGTGGGCCTTGACCTGGTGCGTTTTGGGTGGTCAGTCCCCAGTCATTGTTTTCATTCAGGCACCTCAACACGGGATGTCGCCTGTGAAGAGTGCCCTGCTGGGACCTTCTCTGACCAAAGCTCCAGCACTGACAGCTGCAAGCCCCACACGGAGTAAGTCCCTGGTTCTTTAATGTCACTGACTGATTAACTGAAATTAATAAAGGATGAAATGGGACACGTCACTTCTGGTGCAAAGAATACAAATTTATCTTAAAGGCTTTGGGGCCAGGAGCAGAGGTTAGAAAACCTCTCTCTGTAGCTGTTGCACAGCCCCTGGAGTGAAGGGAGGGAAGGAAGGAATCCCTCTTGCCTTGTTTTTAGTTTACAGTGGAATTCTACCCCTGTGTGAGTGTCAGGTTTGCATCCAGGTCAAGAATTAATGCCACGGGGGTGAGAAGGAGGTTAATGGCTTTGACACTGAAAGCAATAATTGAAGGTAGTACAAAAATTACCAAAGGGATGTTTGTCACATGGAAAATGCTCCTCTCTTGTACCATGGCAGTTTCTGTAGCACTGACACCCGTTCTCTTTCATTCCCAGCTGTGCCAAGTTAAACAAAGTGGCACTAAGCCAAGGAAATGCCACACATGATCAGGTTTGCCTGGATCAATCGCCCACCTATCTCACCCAAAGCCCTTTGTCCACGAGATTCAGCAATGAAACAAATCACTCTGACCCAAGGAGCCTTGAGGAGAGCCTGGTGACCATTGCTGGTGGTGACCACCTAAGTGCCACGACAACTGAAAACCCCAGCTCAATTCCTGAGGAGAAAGATCCGACTGACACTTTTCCCACCTCAGCCAAGGGGGAGATGACAATGGGAGGTAACAAAGCAGTTACTCTGTTTTATTAAAACTCATGTTTTATTGGGAGATATCTTTGGTAAACACACTTCTTATGTGGGAGCTTCCTGCAAATGCCCTACAACTTGTGAAACGATGTCCATGGGTCTGTGTCCACACACATGGAACTACTCAGAGCTCCTCCTCTGCCCTTCCTTAACCTTTCCTGTGCTCCCTTTCTGTGCTGCAGGTGTAGTGCTTTGGGCAGTGGTTCTCTGTGTGATAGTGCTCCTCGGGGCCATGCTGTTTTTTTGGAAATGGAAGGTTTGCAAGAAGCGGATCCTCGTCCTCAAAGGAAAGCGTGAGTTTTTAAAGCTCCAATACCTGGGACGCTGTTTGAGCTCCCAGTATAAGCCAAAGGGGAACTCAAATATCCCAGAATTTTATGGAGGTCCCTGGGGAAGAGGATGTTCACTACAGCCTGGTGAAGGCAGGCCAGATAAGAGTTTTAGGCAAGAGGAATGCGAAATATTGCAGCAGCTGTGAGTTTATGGAGGGCAGGGAAAGGGTAACCAGCAGTTTCTTCTCTCAGCACAGATTAAATGATACCTGAAGTGTTGTGTGAGTATTTGTTGGTTCTGGGAATGGGGATGGGCTTTGAGCATGAGAGGAAGAGTGATTTTTACTGACACTGACTCTCTGTAGCTTCACCTGTCAGCTGTGTGGGGTGTGCCTGTGGAACCACATTCCCTCTTTATAGAAAGCAGGATGTGCACGTTGTAGGTTGGTTGTAGATCTGTGGGTGTGGCAGAGCTTTAGAGCCTGCAGGCTCCACGGGGAGTTTGACTAAATGGAAGGTTTCTTTTCTCAGCACATCTGCATTCTGTCATCGCACACAAATACGGCCTCAAATCGCCAGGTGAGTGACTGATGGACCAGCACTCTGAAGAATAAGTGGAGAGTTTTAATATGGAGCTTTATTTTATAGAATTTTAACTTAAAAAGTGGGAGTTTTTCATGTCACACCTCTGTGTCTGCTGCCATGCACAAGGCCAGCGCTGTCCGGATGTCACCAGGTGCCACCAGATGGCACTTTGTTCTCACAGTATATGAAGGGTTGGGTGATGTGTCAGTGCAGGAAAGCAGTCAATTAATTTCTGGACAATAAAAAAAAACCAAAAAACAAAAAACTGTGTGTTAGCCATAGCAGCCTGTACAGATCCCCCAAAGCACACACAGTTTGTCCAATGAGCTGATCCTTCTCATCATCCCAATCCATCCCATTGATAGATCTATTCTGTTGTGTTAGATTCTCCCAATCACCACAGATCAGAGCATTTAATACTCATTTATTCAGGAATATGATTTAAAGCAGCTTAATTTTCCCAAAATGGATTTTTTTTCCTCCCTCACTTGCATTACACAAAAACCCTGTTATTGTGCAGCATTTCCGAGCTGATGCACTGAAAACAAAAGTAGTTGCACATCAGGGTGGAATTAGATAGTAGGTCTGAGCTCATCATGCTTCACAGTGCTGCAGGATGTTTTATACTCCCTCCTCCTCACCTCTCTTCTTTCCCCAGCATTCCCTGGAATCATCTAATGAAATTACACATAAAATCCCATCCCCTTAATATTCATCTGACCACACGATGAACTGATCTAGTTTGTTAATCCCGTAGAAAGTTATTAACTTTTTTTTTTTAATAAACCTGTCTTGTGCTTATCTCGACAAGTTTCATCAGTTCATCAGTTCATCAGATGAATTCCAGTAGTGTGGGGAGAGTGATGCAAAGGGCTTTGGGCAGAGCAGGACCTCACAGTCTTGGCAGCAACACTTTGCTGGTTCACCTCAGCTGTGTCATTTGAGGGTGCCCTCAGTGTCAGGAAAACTGTGGTGCAGGAGGGTTGGGCAGTGGAGTGGTTTTGGGCAGGGCCAGGTGGCCTTTCAGAGCAAACATTAACATTCTTGTGACTGTGTGAATTTTCTTCTGGTAATTTTTCCTCTCTCCATTGCAGGTTCCGACCTAGGGGACAAATGTGCAGTAAGTGTGAACAATATTCCAAACCAGATCCTTTCCAGGCCAATGCAAATAGTGTTATTTTTAAATGTCCTGTCACAGAGTGCCAGGCTTTTTGCTTGGACTTTCCTCTACAATGTGTGATCATCAGGCTGCAGCAACAAGCTGTACTAGGACTTGCTGCTTTCGTGTCTTGGGCTGGGTTTAATGTGGTGTTAAATAACGTGATGCTGCCAATCTTGCTTGTGAGGGGAGTATTTGGTTTGGTCTCATGCCATTAATGGTGCATTCCATGGGACAGGATCCAAAATCACAGGATGAACATGCCCTTTCTTCATTCTGGGAGAAATTTGTCTGTCAGTCCCTACTTTGTCTGTCAGATATTAATTTTTCCAATGACTCGGGTGGCAATCATCTATTATAATTTCAGAGTGTCATTGCTAATTCTTGAATTGTGAGGAGTTTCCACTCTTGCTTCCTGAGTCAGACATGAGCAAGAATTTTAAACTGCACATATCAAAACCTTACAATGTTTTTTGTGGGGTTTGAGTTTGTTTTTTTTTCTTTCCCAACCTTGTGGAAACACAAATAGAGCTAGGAACCTTTGACCTCTCTCAGATTCTGGCTCCTCTTTTAAAGAACTGTTTATAATTAATTCCTCACCTAATAGGTAGTCTGAGCTTGTTAGTTCTACCTGAGGTTCTGCTGAGGCAATTCCATTTTGAAGTTAAACCAGTTCAACCTCTGGCTCGTTCTGTTCTTCCATGGGAGCGTGGTAGATCTTTGCAAAACCTAAGAGGTAGCTAAACCATATATTTTCTTCAGTGAAGATGATGGACATTCTTGCAAATGTCATCAAAAATCTGTAAATTTAGCTTAGAAATGCTGGTTTTTAAATATAGGCTTAAGTGATGCAGGAACCTGCTTCAAAGAAATTTAAGTTCCTATACCTGTCACACACTTTAGAATTCTTCCCTCCCTGTGACAGTGGTGCTGTGAGGTACATCCTGTTGTCCTGCCTGCCCTGGAAGGGTTCTGCAGAATCCTTGCCATCTTCACAGTGTTTTTACATCCACCCCACTTTTGCTCTCTGTTTGTATTGGCAGAAGCTCCCCCTGACCATTGAGAGTGGGCCAGAAGAGAAGGAGTTAATTGGAAGAACCCTCCCTTTGGAAACCAACAATAACTTGGTCTCCAGCACAGAAAAAGCACAGAGTCCCCATCGGGGTGTGGCTGAGGTGACACCCAGCAGTGGGAATGGCCCAGATTGTCCTGTGGATTCTCGAGTCAGAGACCACACGAACAACAGGATTGGTGAGTCTTGCTTTTTTTCCCCCTTCTCTCTTGTTTTTCCAGTTTTTCAGCCATGTCACATAATGTCATTCCAAGATTACCGATAAGATGCAAAGTGTTCAAATCTGCTAATAAAGACTGGAGCTGAATCTCCAGAATCTTTGACACACAAATATCTATTCATCTGAATATAACACTTTTTTTATTTTCATGTTTGGCTTAGTCACTTAGGAATCTGACAGAAAATTCCCTTCTTCCTCCTATTCATTCCAGAAGATGTAAATTTACACAAGAAATTTGAAAACCAAAAATATATCAGCTGGGAAGTGATGTTCTGAGTGGGAGTGGTAGTTCACATCACTAAACTACCATTTGCTTCTCTGGGGTTCACGTTAATAGCTGGAAATGTGTCTCCCATGTATTCCCATGAAGTCTTTGACCATGGCACAGGGTGGGAAATAAAGCCAGGCAAGGGAGCTCACTGAGGGGGAGAATTGTTACCTGAGACATTCTGGCAATGTTTCCAAACCCAATTTTGAGGTTATTTGAAAGTGTTATTTTTCATATTACAAGAGCTGACCTTTCCTTACGAAATGAGCTTTCTGTTTTTACTGTGAGTGATGGATTGGGATGAATGTGATGATTTGACTTACCACATCCAAATACCTCCAAGCAATTGTGACCTGCAGTGTCTGACCTGCAGCATCCTTCTGAATTAAGTGCAGTGGTCCAAGCCATTGCAAAGGCCCTATTTACCTTTTTGTGAAGGAGTATGTATAACAAGGTGGACACAAAGTTCAAATCTATCCCAGAAAATTTTGCAGTTTATTCTCAGCTGGAAAGAATGTCATTTCTTAGCTGGTCTTAAGACCCCAGAATTTCTGTACAGTGCTGATCCCTGCCCAAAGGCTGCTTTCAATGCAGGTGGTGTTGTTTCTTGAAACAGCAGGGAAATAAACCTTGGATTCTTTATATCTAGGTGCCAATTAATTGCTTCTTCTAGCAGACTTTTGTGAGTATCTTCTGCCTTTTCTGCTCTGTCCTTCTCCTGTAGTCCTAGCTCAGTGGCTTCATCTCATGGAAGCTCAATCTACTTGATCTGGAATGCCCAGAGTCCTAATAAAAAATGTTGTGTGATAAGGAGCCATCTCTGGGGCCAGCAGTGATTGTTCACTACCCTCAGCACTACTTTTTTCCTTCCTCAGAAAAGCTCTACATCATGAAGGCCGACACTGTTATCGTGGGGTCCGTTGCAGAAGTGCCCGGTGGCAAAAACTGCGCTGCCAGAGGATGTGAAAGCAACGTTGACACCCAGGAAATCATGGAAGAGGAACTGGGAATGCACTACCCAGAGCAGGAAACAGAGTCCTTCCCAGGGAATGATGTAATGGTTCCTGTGGAAGAGGAGGGAAAGGAATTCCACCACCCCACCACTGCCACAGAAAAGTGACAACCCACGGAGGTGATGAGCTACAGGAACATCCAGTGTTACACTAAGTCTGACTCTGTGACAAGTGCCTTGGGTTATTGGGAGACTCCTGGAAAACACTGAAACACACTCAAACAAGGAGAGCTAGAACCTCCTTCATCTACCAAATGACAGGAGTATCCAAACCGTTGGCCTTCATAGCTGACGTCAAATAGTCCTCTTTCCCTCTCTCTCCCAATATTATGCTGGAAACAAATTTGAATCAAAGCTGCACAATTCAGAGGACATCTGGATGTCAGCTGAAGTTTCACAGCTTGCTTTCTCTGCATGAAGGAATGGATTGAAACCTATGTCTGGCTACTTCTATTAGCTATGAAAATTCTGGCCAGGGTTCCGAGTCAAGCTTGAGATTCAGCCATGAACGTCGTTGAATAGGTTGTTTTACTTCCAGTACTTCCAAATTTGTCACATATTTTTCAACATCTGGCATTTTCTTAAGGCCTCAACTCTTGACTGAAAGTGATGACAACTTCAGTTTTCCCTAGCACAAACAACTCTCAGGATTGTGGACTTCATGTTTTTTGAGGAAATAGGATCAAAAGGTGCCACACAGGCTCAGAAAACGGAAGGCAAATAAAACTAATTGAAGTCCACTGTACTTCAGGCCATTCTTTCTAGGTTTTGAAGCCTGATTCATGTTTTTGACTACTTCAAATCATCACTAAGTGTATGAAATGGCCTTTTCTGATGGAAACTCGCTGAATATTTGGTTATTGGATGAACTACGGGTTTAACCCAGTGTGGAGCCTGTAAAAAGGGAAATGAAGAAAAACTGTTTTTCTACAGAAAGAAAAGACTGAAAAAGAGGCACAGCAATTATTTCCTATAAAATTGTTAATATCTACTTGGTTTAGAATTGTTCAGCATCATCAGGGTGACACTGATTTGCATATGCTTTAAAAACAAAGCTGTTTTGTGGTCGACTGGCTCGTGTTATGCTATTTTTCAGTCTTTTGTGCTGCTTGTTCAGTAACTGTAAATGTAATAGTGCTGACTATACTTTTGCAGAGGACAATGGAAAATGAGCAAGATGATAAAGTGTGTCTTAATAGTCAAAAAAAGGAACCACAAAACCCATTGCTTGCTTTGCAGTTTTGCCCTGGATGAAGTACTGTAAAAACAGCTGTGCAGCTGCAGTGACTTCTCTTAGAACACACAAAAGGAACATAAGAGCATAAAAACACCTTCTTGGGCCAGTCCAGGTGTATGAGCCCAACATTTTATCTCTGGCAGTTAGGGATGTCAGTTAGGAAGAGCACATCAGCCTGGCTAATATCTGCTGGCTAATATTCCTCACAGTTCTGCAGCAGCAGCTGGAATTGGATCAGGATGTCCAAGAGTTTGTCTGAGCCTTTACTATTCACTCATATTGCCATAGTTTTTCTTTCCTCTTTTGAATTTCCTGGTACAATCTTTCCTCCATAAGCACCCGTGGCAACAAGTTACAGATACCTTGCCCCGTGTAAAGAAGGACTTTTAACACTTTTAAACTGGCCTTTTTATTTCAGTGAGTGCCACTAGTTCTTGTCTTACAGAAGTCAGTGGTTTGTTTTTGTTGGTTTGGGGTTTTGTTTGTTTGTTTGTGTGTTTGTTTGTTTTGCAACAGAGTTGCTTTTGTGATTCTTGATTTTGTGATTGTATCCTCCTCAGCCTCCAAGCCGAATTCTCATCTCCTCCTATTTCTCATGTAACTTAGATGCTCCACTGCCTTGGTCACTTCAGTTGACCTCTTCCACATCTACTTTAACTTCACTACATACTTCATTTTAGAAAACACCAATTTGTGAACCGACAAACTGAAGAACCACTTTCACCTGGCTGTGGTTGTTCAGGGCTGTTCTGCAATTACAGCTAATTGTACCTCTCAGCTCCATATATAAATTAATGTTTTTTACTGGAACAGCTTTCTAGGTGAACTGTATGCATTGCAACCTGCTGGATGTGTTATAACTGGTTTGTTTAATAATGCTGTTAATCTCTGAATTAAAAGTTACATGCATTTTAAGCCATGGCCATGCTTTTCTTGTTTGGTATGTAAATGTTTCATTGTTGATAATCTCAGTACCTGTATCAGTCACAGAAGAAATATTTTTGAAGAAGAAATATTTTTGCAAGAAAGCCACTTGAAGCTCATGAAGCTCTTAGTGGAGTGGAGTTTTTCCTCAAGAGCAGGGCTGAATTTACAGTAAGTCTGTCTGTGCCATCCCAGCAGTGTGTGACACACGAGTGGAGCAGTGGTGGGTACTAATGAATGCTGGGATGGGTGTCAATGAATGCTGGGATGGGTATCAATAAATGCTGGGATGGGTATTAATAAATGCTGGGATGGGTATCAATGAATGCTGGGATGGGTGTCAATGAATGCTGGGATGGGTATCAATGAATGCTGGGATGGGTATTAATAAATGCTGGGATGGGTATTAATAAATGCTGGGATGGGTATTAATAAATGCTGGGATGGGTATTAATAAATGCTGGGATGGGTGTCAATGAATGCTGGGATGGGTGTCAATGAATGCTGGGATGGGTATCAATGAATGCTGGGATGCTGCAAAAGTATTTTGGGGTGAAGTCCAGGAGATGATACAACTCAGGATATTCTATGAGTGGAGCACAAATAGGACTAAAGAGACCCTCCAGGGCAGTGGTCACAGCACCAAACCTCACGGAGCTCAAGAAGAGTTCGGATGATACTCTCGGGCACATGATGTGACTCTCGAGGATGGTCCTGTGCAGGGCTGAGGGCTGGACTCGATGATGCTTGTGGGACGCCTCCAACTCGGCATATTCTGTGACTGTGTGGTTCCCCCACGGCGAGAGTCCCCCGTGAGCAGCTCCGGTGTGCGGGCCCTGGGCAGCACCGCGGGCACATCGCGGGGCCGCTCCCACCGCGGGGCCGCCCCGTCCCCGCCCCGCGCACTCCCGGCGCGATGTGGCCGCGCTGGGCGCTGCTCGTGGGGCTGCTCCGGACCGCGGGCGGGCGGGTGAGTGCGGGCCGGGGCTGTGCGGGGGGCTGCGGGGGTCTGCCCGCCGCTCCTGGGGCGCGGGGAGCGCTGCGGAGCGGGAGCGCCCCGGGCGGGACGCGAGAGGGCATCGCCTCAGGGAGATGCGCTCCCGGAGATGCGCCGCGGGCGGGCATCGTGTCCCTGTGGGGTGGGGGAGTCACCTGCCCGCCCCGTGTCACCTCTCTGCCCTTGTCACCTGTCCGCCCCTTGCCGTTTGTCCGCCCCTTGTCGCTTCTCTGCCCCGTGTCGCCTGTCTGCCCTCTGTCACCTGCCGGCCCCTTGTCACCCCTGGGCCCCGTGTCACCTTTGTAGCCCTTGTCACCCGTCTGTCACCCGTCTGTCCCCGCTTACACGGAACTCGCTGTGATCTCTACAGCAGCCTCAAGTCCCGCTCCTTTAAAGCTAACCCTGTTCCCCTTGGCTATGTCGTTGTTTTTCTTGGCTTCCCAAAGCAGCATCAAACCGTTTTTCCTGGATTTTCATTGGGAATAGGTTGGTTTTTCAGGCTTGTTTGAGTATTTGTAAAAATTGTGAGTGTCCTGGCAAGTGCAGGGTGTAAATCCATGCGCATTTGACACCGTTGTTCAAACAGGAAGAGCTTGTTGTGCTCTGTTGGTTCCCTAGAACTCTTCCTTATTTACTTAGAAAAGCCTTTTAATTTACAGTGCAGACCTGATGTGCTGCAGCTGGGACTGTTCTCTCATTCCAGCTGTGCCTGTTCTCTCTCATGTCCAGCTGTACCACTCTTGGGCAATGAGGGCTTGTAACTGCTTCAACCAAAGAGCTCCATGGGATCTGTGTGTCTTGGATTCTGTGCTTGCTGTACTGGTCTATCAGTAGCATTTTTCTGTCTGGTTTTAAAATGTCCGAGATTGTGAAGACTGATATGGAAATGCTACTGAGATGTTCCAGGTCGTTGTGTTTTCTTGGGATATTTGTGTTATCTACGTGTTTATTTAATCATAGGGATTTAGGCTTGATAAGGCAAAGGTTCAGTGAAACCAGGTGAGGATGTCAGAATGTGTATTGAGCCTGAAATTACACAGTGGTCTTTCAAAGAGTACTTGGTGCTATAGTAGGTTGACAACATATTAAAATAATTATTTTAACTGTTTCTTATTTTGATGATATTTTGAACCTTATTTACTGGACACTTTGCAGTGGGCAGGGTACAAAAGACGATGAAGAGAGTCTCAGAATTTAAGTGTAAAGTTCTGTCATGTTCCTTTCTGAACAAGGGGCTTCGACTCAAAAGGAATTAACTCTCACCCTAAACATGGCAAAACATGATGGAAATAATGAAGGAAATTTTCAGCATCTCTTTCTGCATTGTGACAAACCAGAGAAAAGTCTATATATAAAGTTAGAAAAACAGAGTAGCTTCAGAAGTACCACATCTGCCACAGAGCTGGAAAAAAACCCCTGTCTGTTATATCAATTTTAAGAAGTGATTTGTTATAGAAAACTTATTTTATTTTTGAGGGAGACAAATTGGCAAAGCAATAGTTCTTGAGTGACACTATTTCCTGTTTTTTCTCATTCAGCTGAAGTTCTCTGAACACTCCTGGCCTCACTCCCTGTGTCAGTCACAGGAACTGAACATTACTTTTACCATTTTGAACAACTGAGTCATCAGAGTTACTCAGAAATAGCCTGAATTTTTCAAACAGAAGAGCTGGTGAAATATCCATGTTTTCCCAAATAGACATATAATAAAGTTTGTCTTCCTACAACCTTTGACTGACTTCCATGATTTTTGCATGTTGGGAGTAGCTTCCATGTTCTGTGCAGCTTCTGCCTTCTCTTTTGGGAAGATGTTTTCATGTTGTGATGGTGGGTGGCAATGAAGTAGAATTTGCACAGAGACACTGTTTCCTCAGGGAAGGGGAATGTGGAGCTGTAAATCTCTACATGTGTGGTTGTACAAGGACTCATGCTTAATAGGAATAAAGTGCAATATAGGATGGGAGAATAATTCACATAATGGACCTGTATCTTAGAGATCTGTGCAGCTTTAAAAGAAACTTTATGGTGTGAGTATAGTTGGTGCAGCCTGAAACAGCTCCAGCTGATTTTGGTGAGATGCTGTTATCTGGTAACTAATCTTCCACAGAATTATTTTTGTTAATGACCAGTTTAAATATTTCAGACAGAATTGGGGTTTTTCCTGTCTCCAGCAGGTCTGGTAGCTCAGCAAAGGGTGTCTCTGTACCTCAGGTCCTTTCCATAGGAACAGACTTTTACGACAGAGGCCTCAGTGACTTCATTGTGGTTTCATGTGCGAAAAGAACGTTGTGCACAGATGTAGTTCCTCTTCAGACTCCTTTGATTGGCAGCTTCAGTTTGAAGCAGGCAAGGAGACCAATAAAAAGGTAGTTAGGATTAAAATATATGCTTGAATATCTTTGTTTAAATGGCCTTCTTGAGTGAAAATGAATGTTATGTGAATGGATATATATATATATATTCATCCATTATATTAACATGTTGTGTTTTTATTATTTAAGGTACTTAAGTTTAATTACACATGAAGTGCTCTTGGTGTGGTGACTGCTGTTAGCCTGCTCCTCTCCAGTGGGAAAGTAGGTCCCCTGTGTACTGGGTGTCTGTAGTGCAAATGGGAATGTGATTCAAACAGTGCAGGGACTCTGGAGAGTCTGGAGTCATTGCCTTTGCATGTGTAATTTCCTAGTTATTGCTTAGTGCACAGGCATTGCAAAAATCTGCCTGGTGAGTTGTGTAGTAAAAGACAGTCATAGTTTACCCATTGCTGTGCCAAAATGCATTGCTTAATTTGGTTGCTGTGCATAGAGCGAGACTAAATTTCATGTTAAAGAATGTTTGTGCCTCTGCTGCCAGATAGATGGGGCATTTTAATTCTAGTTGTACCTGTCAGATTAAATGTAAGTCTTCCAAAGTCTTCATTTTGTCAATATAAATCTCTTTAAGATCAGCTGCCATTAGACACGGCCACATAAGCTGAGAAGTTCCAAGGCTGTAATGCAAAACACGCAGCATCAGGTTGGTTTTCCTTCACACAATCTGCTTGTAGAACAGTAAAAACAGAGAGTAAAATGAGGACTTGGGAGAGAGACAAGCAGTAACAAAATGCAAAGATTGTGGAATGGAATCTGGCCGTCCACGCATCAGTTGTTCATCCCAAAGTAGCCAAGGGAACTACACAAATGTTGTATGGCCCAACCTGGACCTTAGGATTGGTGAGATGGCTCTAAAAAGTGTAGCCCAGAAATCCAGGGGAGTTTTATAACTAGTAAAGGGCCTGTACTTCCTCTGCCGGATTTGACAGCTTTGATTAAAAGCTGGGAGTAACTACTAAACAAATGAGTCATAAAACCAGTCACAAATCCCTTTTAGTTTCCCCTAATGTTCTTTGAGGACAGTTGGGAAGGATTGTCAATTGTAAAGCAGGGAGAGCAACAGCTCATCAGATAAAAGGTCAGAGAGATTGTATCAGACAGCAGAGAGATCCCTTCAAGCACAACTTCAGAGAGGCAGGTGTGAGCCCAGCAACCCACAGGTTTTTCTGTGTCTGCAGCCCACAGGGCAGGATTTACAACAGACAGTTCAGAGCACGAGATAAGAACTTTTTTTTTTTTTGCCTCATCAGCAGGATAACTTGTGATGTGGTTTAATGTACTTCTCCTTTTTTTTTTCCCCTGTGTCTGCTCTTGCAGTGAAGTTCTGTGTTTTAAAAAGGCTCTCAAGTGCTTGTTTTAATGAAGTTGATCACAGCGACTACAAAAATGGGATGACAACACTTGATCTTTCTTCTTTTAATAAACAATTTAAATGAAAAATATATTTGATGAGAGCAAAGCCCTTTTTTTCCTTCATCAGATTTTAGTGCCAGCTCACATTTGCAAACAGGGTGATTTGTCATTGCCCATCCTCAGATACCTAAACTCAAGAAGACTTTTCTCTGCCTTCACATTCTCAGGAAATGTTCTTTTTGACACTGACCATTAAGGAGATTGGAAAAATCCTGTTTCTGATCACAACTAGATAAGAGATAAAATATTTCACAAGCTGCATAAGAAAACACTGGATTCCCTTTAAGTGATTGTTGAGAATGGGAAGTGTTAGTCTGCTTTGTCTGTAATGGGAAGACACAATGGATAATTAACATGTGTTCCAGTAAGGAGGAAGGATATTTTCATTACCACCCTCCCAGGACCTTGTTCCTGTTTTGATTTCTCCTTTTAGCAGTGATTTCTCCAAATGTCTGTAGATTATACATGCAACAATCTCTTCAGACTGCACAAAGCTGAGCAGTGTCACATCATTTTTAAACAGCCCCTTGCTGCTGATCTAGCAGGAAACTCCTACACTTGTCCTACCTAACAGGAGCCTTTTTCCTTTGAGGAATGTGTTTTTCCCTTTGAAAACAGTTAGCAATTATCAAATATTGTGACATTTGTTCACTGAAGTCACTGAGCTGTGCCGATCAGCGTGAGCTGTAGGCACCCTGTATTTCATGACTGTTCCTCCTGCATTTGACCTGCATTTTTGCCACTTTTTCACAAGCAGCAGTGCAGTTTTTGCAGACATCATTTTCAAAACATCAGGGCCTTTCTCATTCACTAAGTATCTGGGAAGATTAGAGCCTTTCTCCTTTCCTTTGGTGAAACAGGTCATTTTTAACACAGCCCACTTGGCAGAAAATGCTTCTCCCACAAACCCACAGGCAAGAATTTGGGATTCGCTGGTGTTGGTTGAGTGATGGCAGCTGAGGACAAAGCTCCCAGCCCTTAGGTTTGGGGGATGCAGTAGTGAGTGGGTGTGATGCCAATCCCATTGCACTCTTTTGAACATAAAACCTGGAGAAATCACTTTGTTCTTTGTGACAGATCTTTGAAAAACAGAGGAGCCTCAAAATGGTCTCATAAGCTGCGTGTTCTCCTGCATCTGCTGTGTTCTGTTTCATCAGGGCTCCATCAGTGCCCTGGTGAGGAAGGGGGTTGTAATTGCACTGGGTTTTAAGTATTTCTCTCTCTAATTCAGGGTCAGAATGGACTTGTGACTCATGATTTCCCATTAATTTCTCCTAGGATTATTCATTGCCTTATACACCACAGTTTGCACAGTGCAAAGATCCCAGCACTGAATTCTATTTTGAAGAACTTAATAAATGCTGCAGCCTGTGCCCTCCAGGTGGGTTCCAGTTCAAACTTTATGCAGCCAAATTCTGTCAATTTTCTTTGATTTTTTTTTGATGTTGTAATGCATTCTGGCTGTCTGCTCTGAGCTGTCATGTCTTATACTCCAGGGGTAATTACTGGTGATCTGTAGTTAGCTAAACTTTTCATCTGCAGAAGGGTGGGCTTTTGGGTTGGGTTTTTTTGGAGGTAGTAATACTATTTGAATATTTATTAATAGAGGTTTTGAAACAAGTTTTAACTATGTTATTACGTAAGACACAGCAAGAAACTACCTTTTTTTTCATCATTACATGCTGAGCAAAGGAAATTTGTCGCCATAAATGCTGAGTTTCTGTCAGATCCAGAAGTACAAACAGGAAATCAGTATTTGCTGAAGCGGCTGCAGTTGCTTGAATTAACTGACATTATCTAGAAATGTCTGTCAAACTTCCTTTGTTAAAAACATGATGGATGGAAGGTGGTAATTCATACATGAAACCTTTTCCTGTTGTTTTATGTACTGTTCAGCACTACATCAGCCTAAATCATTAGCAGGATGTAGGATGCAGGATTTTAAGCTTCAGGTAAGTACATGGAAAAACAAAGTCTTTGGAAATAATTCATGTGGCTCATCTCCAGAGCCTCTTCTTTTGAAACACAGATTCTTCAGGCAGCTCCACAGATTTTTTCAGTGTTAATCCTGCTTTCTGAGTATGTTTTCCAGGATATTTCTGTAGAGGATATGAGGCACTGGCTTTTATATTCCTTCTCATTTCACAAGATAGGGAAATAGCAACTGAGATGTTTTCCTTTGTACTGTGGGAGCTGCATCTGAGGATATGCTGAGGGGTTTTCTTTAGGATTGGGGCTGCCTTGTTTTGAATGTGGCTGGAATTCACTGAACTGAACGTAGGAAAAGGGGTCAAATATGATAAACATAAATCAGAGTTAAATCTGATAGTGCCAGTGAAGGGAAAGGGTTCTACAGCTGAAAATGAACCTTACCTTAAGCAATTCCAGTGAGATGCTTTCTCTGTTTTGGTTTCATTTATTTTTTTTTTTAATAGGTCAATACAAGACAGAGAGCTGCAGTCACACTGTGGACACCAAGTGCAAGCCCTGCAGACCCAACACCTACACAGCCATCTGGAATTGGTCCCCACAGTGCTTTGCCTGCTCACCACCCTGCAGGAAAGGTAGGCCTGGATTAGTAAAGAGCCACTTGTGACTTTAACAGCCTCCTCAAAGACTAGGCTTGGTTTAACCCAGTCGGTTCTCCTGGCAGGTTTTGTCTATCACTTGTATATCCTCATGCTTTTGGTAAGATTTGGGGATAAGAATCAAGGACAATTCTTGCAGGGGGCCCTGTCCCTTTTTCCTTCTAAGTCCTAAAAAGGGGACACTAACCTTATATTCTCAGAAACTTGGGCACTGCATCACTAAAATAGTTCCAATAGAATGAGTTCCTGCTTATAATGTCTGGTCAAGAGATCTTGAGACCTGGCATGCACAGGGGTAAATGGATAATTGCATTTCCAGTGTCCAGTTATTTCTTGACTCGTCTGCTGAAGTGACAACAGCAAACACCAGCTGTGATATTCCTGTGTTGTTTTTATTTCTGGTTCTGGTCATTGAAGCAGCTTAGATAAGGCAGTACATTGTACCAACATCTGTACACTGGGCTGATAGATCACATCATGAACAGACTCAGTCATGCTGTTCTCCACCATTTCTAAGGGAAACTGGTGTCAAAAATTACCTACTTGACTCACTGACAAGTAAGTTTTAGGGATACAGTCTAAGCTGTTCAAAGGATCTTTAGTCTCATCTAAACAGATAATCTTACAAAGCTGGTTAATTACAGTATGAAAATGTGTGTAGTAAAGTCTCCAAACACTTTAATACAGTTGCATGATGTGCTCAGGCTGCAAATCTCAGTTGTGGCCCCCAGGTACTGCAGTGATGAACACAGGCAACACAAATGTGCATATTTGGGGTTATGATAAAATATAACACAGCTGCAGGTGCAGAGTTTTAAGGTGCATTCTACAAATGCAAATTCTTCCTTGCCAAGAGAGAGAAAGAGAGAGGAAACTCTTCTGACAAGGTAGACATTGGAGCATATTGACATAACTGGTTTATGATGCTAAACTAGCCCAAAGCTGCAAAATTACCTTCAGCTTGTGGTATGTGAACAACATCTCATATTCACCCAAAACGTTGTAGGCTGTGATTTGGAATGTTGGTAATAACATCTTGCTTTATTCTTGTTTTAAAAAAAGGGCTTGTGGAGAATCAAACATGCACTCAGTCCCAGGACAGGATCTGTAGCTGCCCACCCCACAAGTACTGCGTTTCCAAAATAGAGGAGTACTGCAGAATGTGCAGAGTGCATAAAAAATGTGGCAGAGGGTACCGAGTTTCCAGAAGAGGTAATTTAATTTTGAACACTCTGCTTACTGAACTCTTACTCCACCCTAATTCCCTACAATTAGACACTCTTTTTAGTGGTTTTTTTTACATTCTTAGCAGGTAGGCACTAACCAGAGTGACAATATTCTCCAGAGGTACATCCAAGGGGATAACATGTTGCAGTCTTTTACTGCCATATATCATAGAGTTCCTAATTCAACTTAATCTTCCTTTGTTTTGCTCTACTGTGATTTATTCTGCAGAAGTGACTGAGGTTCAAGACCACTTAATTCCTCCTTAAATCCTTGAAACACAGTGCTTCAGGTGGAGTTTTGGGTACAGTGAATAATGATGACTCCATGTTGTCCTGCAGAATTGACCTGGTTTTATTAGCTGATGGAGATCACCACTCTGATAATGTACAGTAAATAATGATGACTCCATGTTGTCCTGCAGAATTGACCTGGTTTTATTAGCTGATGGAGATTACCACTCTGATAATATATCTGTCTCAAGATGATAAATAATATTCAAAAATTCAAAACAGTAAATATTTTTAAGAAATCAGGGATCATTTGAGAAGATGCAGAACTCCAACAGCAGGGGGTCAGTCTGTCAGGGACTAGTGAAAAAGCTCAGCTTTGTCTGCAGCACCACATTTGAATTACTGGTGGGGTTTTAGACTTTGAAAAAGATTGAACATCAGAGGCACCAAACCAACAGCTGATTAATTTTCTGAAGTGTGTTTGGGTTGGGTGCTTTAAGTGAATCTCTCCTGTGACAGTTCCAGGCTGTATTTTATGCACTGCCTCTGTAGCACTTCCAGGATCTACACAGACCTTGGTTATTCATTCTCTGGTCTCTCTGGTTTCTCACCAGACTAACTGGAGTTTTCCTCTTTGTTTGAAGGGACAGACAGCGCAGACACAGAGTGCAAACCTTGTCCTCCTGGCACTTTCTCCCCTGAGGAATCCTACGACACCAGCTGCACACCCCACACAGTGTAAGCCACTGTGTCCCCCACAGCAGCCTTGCCTGTGCACAGGGTTTGCTGCCTTTCCCACCTTCTTTTTCTGTTTCTTGCAGTTGTAAATCAGTGGCTGTTCCTGGGAACAGCAGGAATGACACCGTTTGCAGCGACTCAGGAACAGCCACAGTTCTACCTCACACCATCCTGAACCTGCTCCTGACCCAAAGCTCAGCTCCCCACAGACCTGAAATAATAACTCGACCCATCATGTTAAACTCTGTGCCTGACCTGTCTCCCACCATTGGTGAGCTTTAACTCATTTAAGGTCAATTTTGTCTGCCCAGGAACCAAGTTTATATTAAGTTCTCAGTTTCTTTGTAAAACCAATTACCTGTACCCAAACAGAACCTCAGAAGAGCTGAATTAATTCAATATGACACTGCTTGTTGTGAGTTGCATTTTTACCTTTGCATCTGCACTACCCCCATGTGTTCTACAGCCCTTGGAATTCTGGAAATGTTTCTAAAAATCCCCAAACTAGTTAAAAGAAGGCATTTCCTGAGAATTGCTGCTGTAGCTGGTAGAAAAGGTTGTATCTTAGACTCTGGGCTGAGGCAAACCTGACTTGATAAACCTCCTGGTGAGAGGTCTTTGGAGCCTTCTGGCAGCCTTTCCCCAGACAGGATTCTCAAGTGGAGGAGTGTTCTCTCCTGTTCACAGCCCATCCAGAAGACAGAGATGTTTAGGAGCATTCCAGGCTGCCTGGCCTGTATTTAACAAATTCTTGTATCTGACCATAGAGGCGTCAAATGTGAATGTCACACACCTGATATTTGTGAATATCAGGTACCCATGGACAGAAGCTACAAGACTACCTTTTTCTAATTCGATCCTTTGTCAGATCAACTTGCTAAATAGATCCTCTTTTTTTATTTATTTTCAGGAGCAGTAGCAGGACCATTGTTACTGGTCGTGATAATTGCTATTCTGGGTTATTGCTTAGTCTCTAACAAAAAAGGTAAGACTCATGAAGTGAAAACAAGCAAATCTGTAAACACTGGAAAAAGTGTCACCTTGTTTCCCACTAATCTGAGCCTGGTGGTTGACTGAAGTTAATGCCTCAGAAGATGCCAGCTCTCTTCAAACCTGTCTTGTTCCTCAGATTTTAGATAATTGTCTAAAGACACAACACCCTCATGGAGTTGGACAAGTGTGCAACAGTTGTGCTTCTGCTGGAGCTTGTTAAATATGTTGTGCTTCATTTAAATATTAGATATGATCAGGTGTTCTCATTAAACCGACATGACTGTAGTGTATGGCCATCAATACCTTTCCTCATTGACACTATGCTATAAAAATTAGGAATTCATTGCAGAGGCTCCTCTTTGCTTGCTGGCTAAATTTAAGTCACCTTCCAAGATTAATATAATACAGCTTTCAGTATTTTCAAGCTGTGTGTAAATGTACATTAGGAGTTTATTCTGGGATCAGGGGATATCACTCAGACTAGTTCAGAGTGCAGCTTTTGCAGCAGATTTGGGTGCTCATGAATGTCTTTGCTCACTTGCAGCCCCTGTGTTCTCTGCACCAGCTACAGAGGCAGATTTGGTGAGTGCCACCATCCTTTCCATCTCTTCCACCTCTTTAAAAATTGTACAGAAATCATGCAGTCTTATTTAATTTTAAGTAATAAAAAACTGCACAGCAGAAAGACAACTGGAGTGAGAATGGGATGGTTTGGTCCCCAGGCCAGGTGTAAAATGCACTTTACATAGCCCACATAATACACTCTCCTCACTTTATTAGCAGTAAAACACAGATGGGGGCAGAAAACCAGATTTTAGAGCCTTTGTTCTCTAGATAATCAGTGTGGTGCTGTGGGTGCCTTCAGGAGACAAGTTCATTTTGTTGAACCCCTAATGAGCTGATATGAATTTAGTTAAAGTCATCACTATGCAGATAGAAATTACCATAGAATGGCTTGGGTTTGAAGAGACCTTAAACTCATCTAGTTCCAAACATCAGTGGTTTCTTTAGCTGCCTAAGGACTGACCAGTTCTCTGTTAGTATGTTGGGGTTTTTTAAATACTAATTTTTTGCATTTCTCTGCAAATGTTCCAGCCTTTTCCCCTCACAGAAAAACAGTGTGACAAAAAAGTGAGAGAGACAGGATTGCAGAACTCCAGCAACTCTGAACAGGAGGAACAGCATCTCTTGGGAACTTCTGGGTCCAGCAGTGGCAACCTGAATAATCCAACTGCAAGAGTCAGCGTAGAAAGTAAAAAAAATGATGAAAAGAGAAAACCAGAAGGATTTCAGCAGCAACATCCACCTGCAGAAAGTTCTAAACTCCACAGCGGAGACAGACACAGCTCTGCGAGTTCAGGTAGGAATGGTTCAGAATGATCCAGAACCCCTTGAAATTTGTTTACCAATTATGAGCCTTTTTAGCAGTTTAAATGGCAGGATAAAACATGAGACCCCTGTTGAGCAGAGAGGAAAATTTAGTAACTTTTGAAAAGAAAAAGTGGTTGTTTTAAGCTGTCACCCTGAGACAGTAGAGAGGTGGTGGTTCGGTGAAGTAACAGGTATTTGTGGGGCAGGGGATCAGGTGGTCAGCACTCACCTGTGAGTGGCAGTAGGAGCCAAAGGGAGCAGTAAGAAAACATTGTCAAAACCATCTGAAATGGCAACAGATGGGCAGGGAATTGTTTGTGATCCAGGGCTCTGCCTTGATTTTTGTAGCCTTTTTATTTCTGAGGTGATGTGGATTTTATGGCACCATAAAAACCCACCAAAATTTACAGAACCAAATCCACCAGCTTGACCAAACTAAGGGAAGCAAGAGGATATTTAGTATCTATCTTAACTATGAGTCAAAGAAGTGGACAAAGAATCCAGAACCCGTTCTGGGTTTCATTTTTCCATGTTTAATGTGTTTTCTGTTTATTTGACAGAACATTCTGGTAACGGAGGAACGCAGGTGAATGTGACTTGTATTGTCAAAGTCTGTAGCCCAGACTGCAGTTCCCAGTGCCCAGAGCAGATGGATTATGGAAACACTCCCTCTTATTCCCCAACAGGGGAAGAAACTCCCCTTTCAAAAGAAGAAAATCCCTCGAAAAGTGAAACTGAAGTTCACATCTCGGTGGAAAATGAGGACAATTTACTTCAAGAGTTACTTCCAGAAGAAAAGAAGGTTCCTCTGGGTATTCAAGATGCTGGGATGAAAACCAGTTAGAGGAAATTACAGATCATACACTGACTGACTGATAAAATTAATCATTTTCTAATGTCTTATAAAACAAATGTTATGGCAAATGTAGCATTCCTGCAGAGACTTGAAATCTCAGACAAATACAGACCCTGATGCTTTAGAGGTTTTTAAGCTTTGAGAGCTGAAGGAAGATCTTTGCAGTTTAAAAATTTGAATGCTTTTTCTTTTAAATTGAATGGCCAATTCTTCCCTTTCTTCTTTGATACCCTAGAAAGACCTTTACCAGGTTGGAAAAGGAACATTTTTCTAATTGTATGCCATTAATTTTCCACCTGAGACTTCTTGTCATGATAATTTGGGTTCAGGTGTCCAGAACATTCCTGTGACCAGCACTTCCAAGGGACTGGAGTTAAATTATCATTCAGTCAATGCTCAGGAATTATCCATTTGAATTCAATTTTAAAACTATTGCATTCCATTTCCCAAACCAGATCTTCATGGACATATTTCCCCTCATCCTCCTGGATATTTCTTTTATTATTACAGTTTGCCTTTGCTCATTATCAGACCAAATTTCTCCAGTATAAGTACACACAGGATATCAAGAAGTGAAATCTTTTACACGAGCTTTTTTTACTAAATTACAACTATTATGTCTAAACAACAGAATTTCATTGCCTGTACATAGTTCATTTTGTTTTAGAAGAGAAAAATGAGATTGAACAGTTGTTTTGGAGTAGAAGTAAGTTCCTTTTACTGACAGCTCTAGAGTGTGTCACCTTGTGTCCTGGCTGATGTAACATGTTCCCTGATCGATTCTGACCTCATTGTTGAGCTTAACCATAAACCCAAAATATTTTCCCTGTGTTCCAGTGAATATTAGAGCAGATCCATGTGATTATCTTTCCAAACATCTCCTGCCTGCTGCCCTCAGGAAAAGGCCTCTCAAAGATGGCACAGCATCATCTGTGATAAATGGCATTGACTCAAACCTCAGAACCTGAAAATCCTGTTCCACTTCACTGCCTGCTGACGCTGAAGCTCCAACCACCTCTGGCAGAAAACTACTGGGGCTTCTTCTTGAATCAGGTCTTGGGGTTTGGAAGCCAGTCTTTAGGAACCCACTTCCCATAATTATATTTTACAGCCTGTGACTTAACTGACAATTGTGGTGGCTGTGTTCAACCAGGATGTGCAGCCCAGTGTCTGAGTCACACCACAGCGAAGTCATCCAGTGGGCACAAATCTTATCTTTTATGCCATAAACCCACTGCTGGACTGGAGGATCCCTGTGCTTCCAACTGAACTGTCTTATTCTACCTCAGAAATTAAACACAGTGGTTATTTCTGAGGCCTTAGACTGAAAAGGGATGTCTGGGAATATAATTTTTTCTACTGCTACAGAGGAGAATTCGGGTTTGGAAAATACGAATTTTAAACTTCCACAAAAATTACAAATTTTAAACTCCCACTAAAGCTCTGAGGTTACTCGGTTCTGGAACTGAGAACGCACAAACAGGTCTATAGTTCTGCTATGAGAAAACCTTTTACAACTTTTACAGCTGTATCTTAAACTTGCACTTGAAGGTAATTTTCAGGGAAGACTTTCAAAATGGGCACGCTCAAATTATTAACAAAACTGAAGGATTTAGGCAAGAAAATAAACTTATTTTATCCAGCACTTTGAACCTCTTGCACTGTGGTATTTTCAGCACAATTTTTTGTTGGCTCCCAATATTGGGGCCACGTTGAAGCACCAGAGGAAGATTTTTGTTTTAAAAACATTAAAAAGGAGGATCCTGTTACAGCGGTTAATTTACAGGGTTTCCAAATTAAGGAGCTGCTTGACAGAAGGAAAATTATGCTTAAGTGGGGAAAAATGAGCTTGAATTTGCTTATAAAATGTAAAAAGACTCCAAATGCAAAACTATGAATTTTTATACATATGTGTATTTTCAAGTTTTCTGAGCTCTTTATTAAACACAACTGTATTTTATTAGTATTCAAATAATGAAATATTGTGATGGTATTTTACTCAGAAGCAATGGTGAGCCTTGCAGGCAAACGCCTCAAAGGTTTTGAAAATTATTTGTGTTTAAACAACAGCCGGTCCTGCCTATGTGGACTTAAAACGAGCCGCGTGGAGACGAACTTGCCTCAGTTTGGGTAAGAAAGATTAAAAAAAGCCCAGTGATTCTAGTTAACACCCATTTCTGGTGCCGGTAGAAATGACATTTGACACTTTTCAGCCCCAAACCTCGCTGTTTACAGCCCATTTTCCCGCGCGGCGCCGTGAGGGGGGGCCCGGCCCCGCCCAGCAGGGGGCGGTGCCGAGCCCCGCCCCCGTTACCGGGCCCCGCCCTCAGGGGGGGCGTTCCCGGCGCCCCAATCGATCGCTCGGCGCTCCCGCACCCCGGGCGCGCCCCCGCGACCGCCCGGCGCGTGCCCGCCGCCCCCCGCCCGCAGCGCAGGTGGGTCCGGGGGTCCCGGGGAGACGGGGGAGGGAACGGGGAGACCGAAGGGGGGGACACGGAGAGGGCACGGGAGACCCCCCCCGAGCGCCGCTGCCCCTTCCCTCCTGCGTCAGCCGCCGCTCCCGGCCCGGGGCGCCCCTCCCTGCCGCACGCCCCGCCCCAGCCGGAGGAGGGTGGGCGAGGGGCGGCCGCGCCGGGTCCCGGCCCCGCGCCCACCGCGGGGCAGCGCTGGGGCAGGGCCGGGGGGGGGCTCAGCGGCGTGGCGTGGCCTGGAGGCGGGGGGGGTCCCTCAGGGCCTCCCCCACGGCCGGGGCCGTTCGCCGCCTCAGGGGTCCCTCCGGCGGGGACACCGCGGGGTCCCTCGGGCTCCCCGGGGCAAGGTGACCTTTGGCTTCCTCGTGGCACGCGGGGCTGCCCCGGGGTGCCCGGCACTGCCCCGGGGTGCCCGGCACTGCCCCGGGGTGCCCGGCACTGCCCCGGGGGTGCTGCCCGCCCGGGGTGAAGGCGCTTTCTGGCACTGCCCCCGTTCCCCCCGCCCTTCCTGCTGCTCCCCCGGGGTTGGAAATCGCTGCTTTTCCCGGCGAAAAGGAGCCCCAGCTGAGCCACGGCCTGGTTTGGGCTTTGGTCCCTGTTGTACTCCGTGTGCGTGTGTGTTGAGGAAACTAAAACAGTCACAGAAAAGAAATGTCTTGCTTTTCTCCGCCGGTGGCACAGCAGTGCCATTTTTAACCGCGTTAAAAATGTAAAAGCCTTAAAACATTTGGAAGATTCCTATATGGTTAGTTGTGTCCCACGAGTTAAGGTTAAGGAGATAATTTACTTTATTTACAGCTTTTAGGATAACTTCAGGCATGGAACTGTTCATGCACTGGAGGATTTCAGCCCCTGGATGCTGATCTCAGTGTTCCTTCAACATCTTTCCTCTGCTTTGGCTCCAAACACTTGTAGATTTCTTTTTTATTGACTTCTTTTTTTTAGTGGCAATATGATAAGTATTTGCTTTTGTTTTGTCTTCAGCTTTCTTGTCACTTTTATTAGAATAAAAACCTTTTATTGGAATTAAAAATATAAGCTTGTGGCCCAAGAGTAAGAATGCTCAGACTTTATTATGTGGAATAATACTACTGTGTTTGAAAACTGTTGAGAAATGTTACAAAGATAAAAATGTCAAACACATATAAATGAAGCTGTGACATAGTCAAAATCAAACTTCCCTGTGCTGTTTTCTGTTTCACTTTGCAGGACAGCATGGTTTCACTTTCAGCCCTTAGAAAAAGCCTTTCATTGTTTGCTTAGTTCTGGTTATTTTATTTAGTTCTTAGTTAAATGTTTTCACTGGCTTTTTAAAAAAGAAATAAGGGCTTAAATGGGGGTGCCTAAAATCGAGCCAACCTCCTCATGGGAAAACTTTAAATCCTAATATGAAATTTAAAATGTGACTCTTGAAGTTGTCGTTTCCTCCTATTGCCTAATGTAAATAAATTATGTATCTTGCTTCTCTGCTCTGTAAAACTCTGTGGTTTAGTGAGGTCTGGGGGATTGAGAGAGTTTTTTAAGCACAAAATTGGTACATTTACTCCATTCTAACCCCAAGAAATGGCCTGCATGCTTTTTTCCTCACTGTGCCAAGCTCCATCCTGCCCTTGTGGAAGCTCATAGCACTTTTGCAATTCACTGGTTAAAAACTTGGGCAGGAGCTTTGGGATTTTAATGCCCTGATTGCCACATAGGTTGAAACAGAAATGTCTGGAGAAGAGTGTGATGGGAAATGTTGAGCAGTGGGGCTGCTCTAATGTAACTTTTCCCCTCCCCAGTGCAGGAATCTCTGCTGTCACTCTGGAAACCTGTTGGAGTAACTGTTGATGAGCTATTTATGGGGCTTGTATCTGGTTACTTCCCACACACAGGCTCTCCCAAAAAGGGGTTTGGGGAGTTGCTTCACAGATGCCATGTAGGAATTCTACAAAAATACAGTCACAGGCTCCAGGCTGTTATTTCAGACCAGGCTGTGCCAAACCCAGCATGAAGGAAATACTGGCACCAGAGGTTGAGGAGGCCACTGCAAAACTGCTTCAGATCAACGTGGAATTTTAGCCTTCCCTTTTCTGGAAGAGGATTGTGGATTGGCCTTGTCGGTTATTGCAACAAAATGTGGTGTTTTGTTTAGGAAAAAGGATGGAAAGATGAACTTAATGTGCAAATGGGAGTGGTGTGTAATCACCAGAGCTCTGTGGGAAACTGGTCTGACCCTTAAAGAGCTCAGGATAAACCATTTTAAAGGTAGAAATCAACCTTAGTTGATTTTACTTCTCTTTTACTTCTCTTTAGATAGATCACAGTAAGAATTACAGTGGCAGTGGTGGTATGTCAGCTCTGCTGAGAGTGGATATTTCAGACAATAATTTTCTTCTTGTTTTTTCTTTCAGAGCAAGACTAATTATGGAACAGAAATCCAGAAAATGACAGAAAACCCTTAGTTGCCCTCTTCCAGGACAGTCATGTTGGAAGGGTTGGTAGCCTGGGTCCTCAACACCTACCTGGGCAAATATGTCAATAACCTGAACACAGACCAGCTCTCAGTGGCACTTCTGAAGGGTGAGGGAGGCCTTTCTGTTGTGTTTTTATGCTGTGATTTAAAAAAAGAGAAGTGTTTCGGTAATAACTGGAAGGTGGAATAGAAATAATCACTTAATATTGTGTTTAACCTTTAATTTAAATCAGGGTTTGGTGCTAGAACTTTACTGGGGCAGGAAGTGTTCTGCACTCTTTGCCTCTTACCTTTTGGTGCTTGTAGTTACTCCCCTGTAATCTGATTTGTGTCATGTTATGTCCACGAGTTCTGTACTTTGTACACAGTCCTCCAATCAATACTCTCTGGTTCACCCTTTTGCTGTGTTATCTGCTGTTTCTAGAGAGAATATTTTGTAACACTTCAAGGCTTTTCTGTGTGAGCTTTTGGCAATATTAAGAAAATAAGTATCTCTTTTGAAAAGATGATAAGGAAAGGCTTCCTCCGTGGTTACAGTGAAGTTCAGATCTAAAACCTCACAGGAGATTGCTTCTAGATGACCTCATCAAATAGTTTGAGCCCATGACATCAGAAAATTAACAAGTGTGTGAAGTAACCATTGTGATTGTAACACAACCTGATTGGCTGTTCTCATGAAATCCTATTTGACTTTTTTAAAAAAACACAATACCGGTCATTTTAGGCTTACAGTGTTCAAGTTGGCTTTCTTTAGCATAATTCTGTTTAGCAGACTTGTCTTTTTTTCTGCTTTGTATAGGTGCTGTTGAATTGGAAAACTTGCCACTAAAAAAAGATGCTTTAAAGGAACTGGAATTACCATTTGAAGTAAAGGCAGGTTTGTATTTTGCTTGTGTGTGCAGGACAGATATTTTCTGAACAGGAAGTGTTACATGTTTTAGAGGACCCCTCTACCTGTGAGTCAGAACTTGAACAAATGAGGTACCCTGATTTTCAGGTTATTTCTATCTTAGCTTGTTTGTTTCTTACACCACTTTTGGGTGATAAAGTGAGTTTTCACAGGAATCTGACAGCGTCTCTGTTTTGTATATCCAGGTTTCATTGGCAAAATAACACTGCAGATCCCTTTTTATCGTCCACATGTGGATCCATGGGTGATATCTGTCTCAAAACTGCACCTCATTGGTGCACCAGAAAAAAAGGGAGAGTTTGATGAGGAAAGGGAGAAGTTGCAAGAGAGAGAACACAAGAAAGCCCTTCTGCTGGCACTTGAGGAAAAATGGAAAGTGAGTCACGCTCGTGTTTCATAGTGTATGGATTATATTTAAGATGTAACAAGTGGGAGAACAAATGCACAGGAAATGAAGTTAGAGTTGGATTTGTACATGCTGACATAGTGCAATTTGTGCCCCACCACCCCTCACCATCGTGTCGTGTGTCCCACATATGTTGGAGACACTGAAATAGTTGGGGTTTTTTCTTTCTCCCTGTTAACAGTGATTTCAGTGTGTCAAAGGATATTTTCTCCTGACCAGCTGTTACAGTGGTTGGTAATGCTTATTCCTGTTTTCTCTTTTAGAAAGAACAACAACAGAAAGGGGAGTCCTACTGGTACTCAGTTACTGCATCTGTAGTCACAAGAATTGTAGAAAACATTGAAGTAAGTCTGTGTGTCTTTGGTTGGCAGTTGCTCATTTGCCATTAAAATGGAGAATAATGGTGGGATAGGGGAAAAAAAAGTACACTGTGTTTGAAAGTGGCTTGTTGGGTTTTGAGGAGAATGGCAGGGTCTTATGGGATCTGAGGAGAAGACAGAACCAGAGAGTACAAACACAGAAAAGAGGAACGGGATTTCTGTGAGGTCTAAATAACTACCAGAAATTGGAGAATTGCAGAAAGCAGTATTAATGAAAAGTACTGCTGTCTGCTGTAAGGATAGAAATAGTGTCTCTAGTAATGTTCTTTTTCTGTCTAGTTAAAAATCCAGGATGTGCATCTGAGGTTTGAAGATGGGGTCACAAATCCCTCGCAGCCCTTTGCGTTTGGCGTGTGCATCAAAAACGTCTCGATGCAAAATGCAGTGTTTGAACCAGTAAGTGCAACTGTGTCTGAGAGCTCCTGGCAGCTCAGGTGGGATCCTGCATTTTATGGGGCCTAGTAAATGTTTAGTGAACCACATGGCATTTTAATAACCTTTTGGTCGTTGTAATAAATGGATTCTGAGCATTTCATATTGTTTATTGAGTGTGTAGAACTGAAAACTCACCATGTGGTGTGTGATCTTGACTTTGTTCCACTTTTCCTACTCCAGGTGGAGAAGCTCATGCGGAAAAAACAGCTGGATGTTGCTGATTTCAGTGTTTATTGGGATACCAACTGCACTTTGTTGGGTGACCTCCCTCCTGGTCAGCTGCAGGTACAGAGAGGGGGTTTGTATATGAAAGAGAAATTGTTGTTAGTCTCCCTTCTATACTGAAGACCCAACTGACTTAGAATTTATTGAATATGATGATTTCAAGAGCAACAGAAGTTTATGTTTTCATGCTCTAATGACAGGATACATGTGCAACCCACAAAGGCTGTGCTGTGAAATACTTTGTTTTGCTTTTGAAGAGAGAACGTGTTTAAGAGGTTTTTTTCAATGGACTGGCATCCAAATAAAGTACATTCCAATATATGAAACCAATGCATCCTAATAAGTATTGGACACTCACTTCTTAGAGAGTAATTTGCCTGTAACCCACAGGAAGCAATGGATAGAAGTATGGAAAGTCGGGATCACAATTACATCATGGAGCCTGTCTGCACTTCTGCTCTTCTGAAGAGAAACTGCTCCAAGGAGCCTTTAAGATCCCGCCACACTCCACGGCTGGAATGTGACATTCAGCTTGAGACTATTCCCCTGAAGCTTTCACAGGTAAATACCAACCATTTACCTCTCAGTAACTGAAACAGAGACCATAAAACTGTGGCTGTTTTATGTGGCAGTTTTATGTTTGTAACATCTTAAATACCATTACTGCAGCATAAAATGAATACTCTCTGAAAGATTTTATTTGAGAGGCAGCTCAAATGGATGTACTGAATAACTTGTTTAAAGCCAAGCTTTCCAAATTATTGAATTATTTTACTGCAACTGATTATTGCAAAAATATTAAATGCTTTGTTTGTTGTAGTAACAGAAGGGATGCATTTGGGGTTTTCAGTCTAGAATATACAGTAGCAGCTGATGTTGTGTTGATAACTGAGATGGAAGGAGATTTCATTCTGTGCATTTGTGCATTTGTAAATAAAGAAGCTGTAAGTGGAATGTCACACATGAACTACTACCTGCTGGGAGAAGATATGTGACACTGGAGAACAAAATTATGAATGATGATTAACGTTAATCTAAATTCTGAAGCCATGTGCAGGCCGTTGATGCAGATAAACTAAGCTTGTGGTTGGGTTTTTGTTTGGGTTTTGTCCCCTCACCTTTGCTTTGGAAAGCACTCCAGTATTGCCTCATTGATTTGTATATTATTTCACTAACAGATGCAGTACCAGCAGATCATGGGATTTTTAAAGGAACTGGCAAGAAAGGAACGACAGCTTAAATTCAGGAAGTGGAGACCAAAGGTTACAGTAACAGAGAAGTAAGTACATCTCCATATGTGATGTTAACAGGACATTAAAAGCTATAATAGGAAAACTAGCATGAGACAAATACAGAAAGGTACATAATACCCAAATATTAGAGATGCAGTTAATATTTTGTTCCTCTACCTCAGAAATCAGCTGTAAATATTCAGACATATTTCAAACTTAAAATTATCCTTACCCGAGGCTTTCAATCCAGTTTATGTAACTCAGCATTTTGACTCTGCCTGATCCATGACAGCTGGACCAAATCCCACTGGGGTGGTGGGACTTTGGGAAGCACTGTCCTGACAGTGTGTGGAACTAAATCCCACTGGGGTGGTGGGACTTTGGGGAGCCCTGTCCTGACAGTGTGTGGAACTAAATCCCACTGGGGTGGTGGGACTTTGGGGAGCACTGTCCTGACAGTGTGTGGAACCAGCCCATCTGCTGCTTTTCCTGGCCAGCTGCCCACTGCTTCCCACTGAATCTCCTGGACCTTTCACCAGTTTGCCATGCACTTGGGTTGTTTTTTTTTTATGAGCTATTGGTAAGACAGTAATTTCCCACTTTTCCAGCTGCCGGGAATGGTGGATCTTTGCTCTGAACGCGAATCTGTCGGAGATCAGGGAGCAGAGACAACGTTCCACGTGGGAATTCGTGCTGCATCGGGCCCGGGATGCTGTGTCCTACACTGACCTGTACTACAGCAAGCTGAAGGGGGAACCACTGACTGCTGCAGAGCAGGTATTTAGATCTGAGTTTCTTCTACAGTGTTAATTAATCATCTTACATTTGGGTCGTTTCATCTTTCCAAATTTAAAATCTGGTCTAGTTTAGAGACGCCTCGAGTCGTGCTGCAGCCATTTTTGCTGAACAGACTCTCTTCTGACCACAGCTGAGCTTTTAAAGATGAAACCTGGGCCTGTGGGAGGTGTGTGTGCTGCAGGGTTCCTGTGTTTTTGTTTTGCTCTGCAAAAAGCTGTCTGTTTTTTGAGCTGTAACTGGTGTTCACCAAAAATAGCATTAACTGTTATAGAATGCTCATGTCAGCCTGTGACATCCTTTCTTAACTCATGTACTCTATAGATCCAAAATGTATTTAAGTATCAGAAATATGTCTGCCCCTATGGTTGTGTAGATAATTGGGAAAAATTGTGGCTAGTTGACAATGTGTTTGGGGGTCTTTTATTGTTTGTTTTGTTTTGTTTTTCCACAGTTGATTTTAGGATGAAGAATTTAGTGCCCCCAATAATTAACCTCTGACCTACTTCAGAACCCCCCCCCATGAACTATAATTAGCTGCTCTTTATCTTAATATATTTTGGGACTTTTTTGTTGAATCAGTTGAGGGCACCAGGTACCTCACCTGTCTTAATTACAAGTGCAAATCTGTTCGTACTTTAAATTGTCTGTAGTCTATACTTATGTTATTTAGAGATGAGCTGTAGGAGTAGGTCAGTGTACAGAAAATTTTACAATACGTGGCAAAGCAGTAGAGTGTTACTTTCATAGACCTTGTATTGTGTTCAGCAGAGCTGTGAAATGTAACAAGGGCAGTGGCAGTGGACTAGAAAAATGTCTTTTGATTTCTTGTTCCACAGTAAGATTCTTTAGGCTTAGGTGAAGTCATCATTTCCACAAACAACTTGTTAATCAGCACAAAGAAGACAACATGTCTGAGTAGCTGCCAATGAATACTACATTGTCCTAAATTACACAGTTCATTTCCTCCACCTTCTTTACTGGACAGCAGCTTTTTTTGCTCCTGGCTAAGCAAGGCAGCCTGTTCAATCAGGTTACTTTCCACGGCTTAAATTTTGTGCTGCAAATCTTGCTTCTGATTTCTGATAGGAGGATATAGTTGGGTAAAGAATTTTTACCCCGAAAAGTGTTAAAATAATATATTTTACAATGCAAATAAACTGTATTTGTAGTTGAGGAGGATGTCAGGGTTGCAGTTACCCACATGGGCACCTGGGTATGATCATTAATGCCATGTTAGTTGTTCCTGCACGAGTCTCTAACTCAGTGCAGAGGTATTTGAAATGTTTGTGAACAACATGCTGTGTTCTTTTACTGCAGGTACTTGACCTTTTTTGTCTTTCCAGGCAGAAATGCATCGCATTGAGGATGAGCAGACTTATGAAGAGCTGAAGATTCTGTATGAGATAGTTCACAATAAATTTCATGACCTGGTTGAGGTGAGGAATATTCTCCATGCAGGGTAATATTTGCAATCTTTAGCTGATTATTCTGAAGTATTGTGTGTTCTGTTCTGCTGGAGAGCCTTAGCATGTATTTGCTTTGATTTAGATGTGTGGTATTAATGCTAAAATTGCAAAAATGTTCAGTTCCTGTAGTTTTTACTGTTGTGTCTCTTGCACAGTGAAATCTTTTGCCTAGTCATATGATGATCTTCCCCAGCAGTATCCTTGCCAGAATTTCTAGGGCAGGTACTCTCCATCTTAAAGAAACAGATAGTGGAAATGAGTGCTTGTAATGAGCGTTTTCCCAGAATAAATATGTGGCAGAAATGAGCCCCATGGAAATGGCTGCTGAGCACACTTCATAAAACGTGGACTAATCTCTGTAATAGTTCAATGTCATCTCTCTCAAATACAATTGCTAAAATTTAGAGCTGTGCCTTATGGTATCAAATGACTTCTTCTTTGGCTTAGTGTCTCTAGACTTAAGATTTAAATAATGACATATGGCTTCATAAATGAATGTGCAGCACTAAGTGATGATCTATTTGTTATTTCTGTGCTGCTGCTCTTCTGTAGGCTGAGTATTGATTGAGACACTGCTGGAGTGCTGAGTAAACAGGAGATGGAGTTGTGTTTTTATTGTGATGTTTTTGTACACTTGTGATACTCTTTCACTTACCAGCAGTAATGTGTGTGTGTGTGTTCAATATTCAAACACAGAATGTCAAAGAGCCCTTGCCTGATTCCCTTGGAGGTTCCCCTACTGCAGAATCCACCCATGGCAGCAGCACTGGGATGCTGCAGTACCTCCAGTCTTGGTTTCCTGGCTGGGGAGGTTGGTATGGAGATACCCAGCAGACATATGAAGGTGAACCTTTTGAAGGGCTGCTGCCAGACCCAAAGGAACAGTGGAATCCAGAAGACATCCTGGGTATGGAAATACAGGGTTTGCTACCATAGAGTGATACCTGGTCCAGGTGAACAGAAGCAGCTCTTTGGTTCTGTGCTGTTAAAGGGTTCCCTGTGTCACCTGAAGTACCCAGGTGGCAGAACCTGCCTAGAGTTTAACAACCTGTTGGAGTATCTCAGGACCTGGTGAACCTGCTGATTTCCAAAGTGTTATGTGCAATAAATTTGCTTCCACTGTTGTTGATGTTTATGGCAAAGAGCTTTGGGGCTTTTTCTATTCAAGTGGAGGGGTTCATGTGACTGGGTATAACAGTAACAGTCCTGGGTTGTTGGGGTCTTTGTAAATTTATATTTACATTACCTTATTGAAGTAGAAGAGTTCTATGGAATATTCAGTATTTTTGAGGAAAAAGGTTTATCTGCTCTATCTTTTGTTTCTGTTCTTCTTCCCTAGAACTGGAGAAATCTTTATTTTCAAATCAAAGAAACTGTTTCGTTCTTCAGTAGCCTTTCACAATCTTAATTTATTTAATATGTTCTTTTGGTTTTTGTTTTGTTTTTTTTTCATTAGGTGCAGATGAATTTTTTGATCCTGCTGCAGATGCTTCAAGCATGAATACCTTTACCAAGAGAGATCATGTTTTTGCTAAATTAAATCTACAGTTGCAGGGTGGCTCTTTCACTCTTTTGCATAAGAAGAAGAAGAAGAAGGTGGTGCCTGCTGAGGAGACTGCTTTTATGCAGCTGGAGTTTTCTGGTAATAAGCCCATTTCTGTTCTTTCCCCAAAAGGATCAGAGCTGCCTCACAGTCATTGTAATGTATAACAAACTATAAAAATGTTTGGTTTTTTTGGTAGAAATAAATATACATTTAAGTGCTTTCAAAAGTGCTTGTTGGACAGTGTTTGTTGTCTGTGAAATTAAAGGAAAATGCATCCTGTGTACTAAAAGGAACAATTTTATGTCTTTATGTTCCAGGTGTAAAGATCTTGGCAGAATCCCTTCCTCGCAGAAAGTCTTCCCTTCTCAAAGTTCAGCTTGGTGGCCTTTTCCTGAGGGATTTGGCAACAGAGGGGACCATATTTCCTGTTCTTGTTTTCCCAAATCCTGTAGGTGAAAAAAACTCTCTAAGTTACTCTGTAGGCTGCATAAGTGTGTATGAAACTAGTTATACTCCAAAACTCAACACGCGTTTTTCTTATCCCAGAAAGAGAACACAAAAGTCTTGAGGAAAAATTTCCACTTGCTGAACTTAGTTTTCCCCTCCCTTTCAAAAGATCATTTGCAGAAGTCCTCATCTTTTGGTCTGTATGATTGTGACTTTTAACCTTTTATGTGTTGGGATGAAGATAATTTGTTGAACAACATTTGATTTTTGGAACAATCAGCATTGCTCCTTAACCAGTGATTGTTCTTTTCCATAAAGCTCTGTGGTCCAAGTAAAGGTTTTATTTCCCCTGTACACTGGTACACTAAAGGCAGAAATGAATTCCAGAGGAGATTTCAAATATCTCTTCTGAGCAAACAAAATTTGAATGCAATGCCATGAGAATTTCCCATGTATTTTGTACTTTGTACTGGCTGCAATTTGCACTTGAGCCTGTCTGCTGCAGGAGTGGGTAGTGTTGGCTTCTTAGTCATACTTTCTTCTCCTGTTTCACCATGGCAGGGAAAAAAATGTACATAATAATCTCAGGCTATACATACATTTCAACAGAAAATACTTTTATGCTTATATCAGGTGGCTTGGTTGATTTTATCTAAACAATCTTTTTCTTTTAAATTCTTATCAGCAAAAAGAGGTTGGCTGCATGTCTTCCTTTGGACTCCAAAGTTTGTCCTCAGAAATGACTAATCAGAACACTGGTAAAGATTTCATTTTATGTTTGATGACATAATTCCTACAAACCAGAGATTTCAAAACTGAGTGCCTAGAGTTTTGAATTCATGCAAATGCTTTTTGCAAGTGGTAAAGATAAAATCATAGAAGCTTTGTTTGGCCAGAAGGGTGGATGCAAGTTGGCTGTAAAGAAAGTAAGAAAAGATGTATTTCAAGACAATAGGAGTTGTATCTGCTCTGTGTTTTGATTTAAAAAAGTTGTTAGGAGTTCAACAGTAAGGCCCCAGTTTTACAAATGTTTTTATATATATACAAACATGTTGAATTCTGTTGATTGTAGAAGTTGATCGTGTTATTGCTTTTCTGTTACTGAAGAATTCTTAGACACTTCTACTTTCCTGGTAGTACCAGTTAAAAATCAGTTATTAAATTCTTTGGGGTTTTTTTTTTGCTTTTTGTCTATTTGTTTGTTTGGGGTTTTTTTTTACAGCTGCTTTTTGTAGCTCTTTTTTTTTTTTTTTTTCAGTTGCAGATCCTGATGCCCCAGTGTTTGAGATGCTTTATGAGAGAAATCCAATCCACAGCACTTTTGAGAGGCGCCTGGAAGTCAGTACCAGACCTCTAAATATTATTTACAATCCACAAGCCATTAAGAAAGTAGCTGACTTCTTCTACAAGGGAAGGGTTCATACCTCAGGTTAACCTTTATTGTGTTTTTTGGTGGGATTGGGGTTTTGTTGGTGGTATCTTATCTTTTCTTGTCTTTGATTTTTACTTATTTGCATTCTTAGAAACACAAAGCACAAATCAAAGAATCCCCACTCTAAATTTAAATTAAGCTAATAAAGACCAGAAAAAGGTTAAGGAAGTGTTTTTTTAGGGGGACTGTTTGTTTTGTGCTTAGATGCTTCCTTTTCTTTGTGCAGCAGCCTGGTGAGTACAGACAGTGCCTTTCACCTGCTGCGTTTGCCTGGCCTATATTTTACTGCAAAAACTCAAATCTTTTCTGTTTTCTCCTTCTTTTTTTTTTCCTGATTCAGTAACATGAACAAAGTTATACCTAATGAGTTTTCCATCTCTTGTGCAGGTTTTGGTTATCAATCTGAGTTAGAGGCAAGAGTGGCTGAAGCTGCCAGAAGACAGTACAACAAACTGAAAATGCAGACAAAAGCTGAAATCAGGCAAACTATTGATCGTTTGCTGGTTGGAGACTTCATTGTAAGTTTGTGTCCCAAGAATGTTTATGTACCTTTCAGCCTTTTGGTTTAGGACTTGAAGCTCTAAGAGTGGGGCTTGTTGTTTGTTTGTGTGGTCTTTGTAAGCAGGTGGGGGGTTATACAGGTGGTGGTGTAATATTCCTTTGCTGTCAGGAAATCCATGTTTGTGGTGCAGGGGATGTTTCACCTGCTGAAAAATGTCTCTTTATTGGCTGTAAAGGGAGTCTGTGGTTTAACAAGGTACCAAACTTGAGTGTGGCTGGAGTTTGTGAAGGTCAGCTCATGGCTTTTTTGCTTATGTTTTCTTCTGGGCTATTAAGTCTTCCTTCTTAACTTGCAGGAAAACAGCAAAAGCTGGACCGTGTGCCTTGATATCTCTGCCCCTCAGGTGATCTTTCCTGATGATTTCAAATTTGTGGATCCAGTGTTAGTTGTTGTAGATCTGGGAAGAATATTACTCACCAATTCTCAAGGTATGATCTAGAATTATTGTAGCTTTCCACCTTCTTTCAGAAACTCAGAGCTTAAAAACAAAAGGGTAAAAAAGGACAGGGAAGTTTTGAGGGGGGGATTCTTGATTTCTAAAGTAGAAAGAATCCTTTTCTTATGATAATAGAATGAAAGTCAATATTAGTCAATAAAGTCAATTGAACAACTGATAGATTTAAACCACACACACACACACATATATATATATAAACCTAATAGAATCTGATAGTATATAATATATAAGGAGACAAGGACAGTGCAGGTATGATTTGTGTTTAAAAAAATACAGCTTAAGACTGGATGACCAGATAACAATAAGAAACTTTTGGAATCAAATACTTTTTTGAATACTTTTGTTTATTTGTTTGTTTACTATTATTTTTTTAATCCACAGAAGAATCTAAAAGAACTGCTGATAATTTTTCCTCAGAAGCCAATGAACTGAGTGATGAGGAATATAAAACACCTCTTGCAACTCCTCCCAATACCCCTCCACCAGAATCCAACACCAATAGTGGCATCAAAATGCCTGAATTTACTGGAGTAGAAATAAGTGAAGAGCAGCTACAGGCACACTTAATGAGTAAAAAAATGTATGAGAGATACACACTGTCATTTATGGACCTTCAGATCATGGTGGGCCGAGTGAAAGACAACTGGAAGCACGTTCAGGACAGTGATGTGGGTCCAACCCACGTGGTAGAAAAATTCAACGTTCACCTGCAGCTGGAGCGCAGACTGATCTACACCTCGGACCCCAAATACCCAGGGGCTGTCCTGTCTGGCAACCTGCCAGACTTGAAAATTCACATCAATGAAGACAAAATACTGGCTCTGAAGAACTGCCTTACGCAGCTGAGCACGTCTGAAACCAAGTCTGCAGATGCCCTGCACTTGGGGAGAGACAAGATCTTTGCAGAGGTGGACCAGTTTGGCAGTTTGCACGACTCTGTGATGAATCTCACCCAGAGTGTTGTCATGCTGGAGCAGCACACCAGGGAGGTTCTTGTGGAGTCTCAGCTGCTTTTGGCCGAGTTCAAGGTGAACTGTATGCAGCTGGGTGTGGAGAGCAACGGGAGATACATCTCTGTGCTCAAGGTTTTTGGCACCAACGCCCATTTTGTGAAGAGGCCATATGATGCAGAGGTGTCCCTGACTGTCCATGGCCTCTTGCTGGTTGATACTATGCAAACATATGGAACAGATTTTGATCTCCTGATGGCTTCTCATAAGAATCTGAGCTTTGATGTCCCAACAGGGAGCCTTCGAGACAGCAGGGCTCAGTCCCCGGTTTCTGGACCACACGATGCACGTCCCATCGATGTCACTGGTTTGGCAGAGAGATGCACTGCAGCCTCAAACACTTCACCTGGGAACAACGGAAAGGATCAAGAGTCCCTGATAAAATTAGAGTATCAGTTTGTGAGTGCAGAGTGCCCATCCATGAATTTGGATAGCAGCCTGCAGGTGATCTCTCTACAGGTCAACAACCTGGATATCATCCTTAATCCAGAGACTATCGTTGAACTGATTGGGTTTCTCCAGAAATCTTTCCCAAAGGACAAAGAAGATTCTAGTCCTCAGCCTTTAATCACTGACTTGGAAAGAGATTGGAGGGAACAGGAAACATTCCAGTCTACTTATGCCCAGAACACAGAGGTAGCAGTTGATATTCACTGGTTGAATATACTCCTCCTCAGGACAGTTGGCATGACAAATGGAGAAAAATATGGCAGAAAAATTGCCACAGCCAGTATTGGTGGCACCAAAGTGAATGTCTCCATGTGCAGTAAACTGGATGTGAATGGCTCTCTTGGATGCCTTCACCTTATGGATCTGACACAGGACAATGTAAAGAACCAGTACGTGGTGAGCATAGGGAACACAGTGAGGTATGAAAATCTCATGGGTGATGTAGATTACTTTGAATCTTTGTTCTTCAGGCTCGATGATGGGAATAGCCTTCCAGATGCTTTAAGTTTCACTTTCACAGAAAAGTCAAAAGAGGAGTGTTCTCTCAACCTCAAAATGGCCTCCTTACACTACAACCACTCAGCCAAATTCCTGAAGGAGCTGACTTTGTCCATGGATGAGCTGGAGGAGAACTTCCGCAGCATGTTGAAAAGTGCAGCCTCCAAAGTCACCACAGTCCTGGCAACTAAAACTGCTGAATACAGCGAGATGGTTTCTTTGTTTGATACCACCCCACGATCAAGAGATGTTGCCAGCACAGAAGATAATGAAGGGGATGCATTTGGACCACAGCCCCTCAAAACTGATACTATCAAGCTCATATTGAATATAAACATTGAATCCCCAATTGTCTCCATACCTCGAAAGCCTGGTAGCTCTGAACTGCTTGTAGGTCATCTGGGACAGATATCAATCCAGAATTTTGTACCAGGAGAAGATGAATCTACGAGTGATAGGCTGCAAGTTGAAATTAAAGATATTAAAATGTATTCTTTAAATAGCAGTCAGTTTACGAGCAAGAAGGAACCTGCAAGTGAGACACCTCATGGGCCACATTCTTCCTCAGGTCCTGCCAGTGTTAACAGCCAGGAAGAATCCCATTTTACTCGTCATGACTTCTTTGAATCATTACATAAAGGCCATGGTATGTTAATCAGAGGAGTCTTAATGACTTTAGTATAAGCAGTAGATGGTGCTAAATATGTGTATTGTCCATAGGTCTGACTGTGTTTTGAGCAAGTTCAATAGCTACTACATGATCTCTTCTGTACAGTCTTTATAGGGTAATCACTTTTTCTAATGTTGTTTTAATTTCACTTTCTCTTAAAGCTTTCCACATTCTGAATAACACCACCATCCAGTTTAAATTGGAAAAGATCCCACTAGACAGAGATTTGGAGTTAACTTTTCCTCTGAGTAATGAAGACTTTGGAGTATCAAGTGTTATGAGGATTGAAGGGAAATTTGTGAACCCTCTTCAGGTACAGAAATGTAGTAATTTCCACTATCAATATAAAAGTATTTCCCTGCATGGAAGATAAGTATTTTTCAGGCCAGTATCTTCAGATTTAACATACTGGTAGTTTAGAAATCATATCCTTATACACATAGTTTGAAGAGACAGTCTTAAGTCATAATAACAATGATGAACATTTAACCTCATTTGGGGGCATTTTAGACATCTTTATGAATTAGTCTAACTTTTGCTTACCTTGAACACAGAAGCAAAAGTAACTGTGTCACTGTCCAAATAAATGTATTTGCAGTTCTAGTAGAAACTAAGAATTAAAATGCCATTATCTTGAAAAAAATCTGTGCAGGAGCAGAGGTTTTAAATAAAGGAAACTGAAACTTCTAAAGCTAAGGAGACAAGCAATGATGGCTAAGTAGAAAGTTTGTTCCATATATTACTGTATAATCTCCGCATGGCAAATTAAGTTTGGATGGTAATTATTTTTAACTAACTCTGTGTGGATGGTTTTTGCCCCAGGAATACAAGGGATCCTCTTGTGGGATCCTCTCCTGTATGTTTCCAGTTGGTGTCATCTGGCAGAGCTAATACAGAAGAATTGTTTTGCTTCAACTTTGCATTGTACCTTGTTCTGGATTACGTTTTACTTGTGGTTTGAAACTGCACAGTCTTTCCAGTTGTGAGTTTTAAAACGTATGTACTGATTTTATTAATATGGAGAGCTGTCACGTGATGGTTGTTTCTTTTCTCTGCGTTGTAGGTGGTGTTAGCAAAACACGTGTATGAACAAGTCCTTCAGACTCTGGATAATTTAATTTACAGTGAAGACTTGAACAAATTTTCAACCACTTCTGTGTCTCCAACTGGTCTTAGTTCTCCTTCAGCATCAGTTCATAGTACAGGCACAGAATTCTCGAGTGAGCGGAAGGAAAATGGCTTATTCAGCCACTCCGGTTTTAATTCTGTTCCAAACAAGCCCTTAGCTGTCAGGGAAACAAAGTCTTTTACTCAGATTCAAGCAAACTTTCATATCTCAGAGCTCCAGGTTCAGCTAAGTGGTGATCTCACACTTGGGGCACAAGGTCTTGTCAGCCTTAAGTTTCAGGATTTTGATGTTGAGTTTGCCAAAGATCACCCGCAGACCTTGTCCATCCAGATTGCCTTGCGCTCCCTGCTGATGGAGGATCTCCTGGAGAAGAAACCAGACTCTAAGTATAAGAACCTCATGGTGTCCCGGGGAGCACCCAAGCCCTCCAGTTTAGCACATAAGGAGTATCTTTCCCAGTCCTGTCCCTCAGTATCCAATGCAGAATATCCAGATATGCCACGTTCCCTCCCTTCCCACATGGAAGAAGCACCAAATGTCTTTCAGCTTTACCAAAGACCAGTTTGTGCCTCCCGTAAGAAGCCAAAAGAAGTTGCTGATTCTGAGTATCCTCTGACTCCACCTCCTTCTCCAACAGCAGACAGATCCAAGTTGCCCTGTGGAAAAAGTAACTTTGATGATTCCTTAGTTCATATCAATATATTTCTAGTGGATAGGAAACATCCCGAATTTTCCTCTCGCTATCACAAAATTAACCGTAGTGTAGATGTTGATTTTAATTGCCTAGATGTCTTAATAACTTTGCAAACTTGGGTAGTGATACTGGATTTCTTTGGGATTGGATCCACTGCTGATAACCATGCTATGAAGCCGCAGCCTGAAGATACTCAGCAGACAATCAAATCAGAAATAAATTCCTTGTCAGCTTCTCAAGCCCAAGAGCCTGTAAACACTAAACTGGATCTGAAGGTATACTTGAGATGCAAAACAGTAATTGGATTGTCTGTCATAAAACCTCTGGTTTATAGAAACTTAAGGTGACATTTACATCAAATGTTTTATATTCCAGTGGGGAATGTGCATAAATTCAGAAACAGGTTCAAAGTGTGTGTAGATGTAGCTTAAAAAAAATAGGAGTTACAGAAAAGCAAAACATTTGCAAAATGATTGGCTCCCTTGCTCTGTGACCCTCCTGTCTCGAATGGTAAAGTTGCTTCAGTATTAAAGACCTGACATGCTGAAGTTGGTACTGTGCTGTTCTAGGTACTATGGAGTTATTTATACAAAAAAAGTATATACCTTTATATATATATATATATATATATATATATATGTATATCTCCATAGATGTCTATACATCTAGATGTATAAACATTTTTTTTTAAAAGACTATGATATACATACATATATATATATTTAGTCTTTGCCCAAAGGTCTAACTTAGATGGGAGAAGCCTTCAAAGATAAAAGGATGCAGATGACAGTGCTGGGATTTGTTGTTGGCCTGGTCACTCTGTATTGCTTGGGAGACCTGTTAATGTGCAAACAAGGGAGTAAAAATGTTGCTTTCCTGCTGTGTCTCCCAATCAGATAATTGTTGTTTGCCATTCATGTGTTACAGTGCAATTGTCTGGAAAAATAAACTAAACAAGATGTTCCAGCTCTCGAGTCATGTTGTTTAATACCAATTTGTTGCTTTTTTGTTTGGCCAGGTCCATTCTTTGTCCTTAGTCCTGAATAAGACAACCAGTGAACTTGCTAAAGCCAGCGTGGCAAAACTTGCAGCTCACTTGGAAGTGATTGGTGAGTGGATGGAAGGGCTGAGGTTGTTTGCAGATTAAAACACAAAGAGGTTTGCACTGGAGTTGTGATTTGAAATGTTTTAATTTGGGTGCTCACTGGGTATTTGTGTGTTTTTCCTGGACAAGATGCACATTCCCTTCCCACTGCTTCTTCCTCTGCTTTTTCAGGCTTGATCTGAAATCCTGGCAGCCCTCCCAGTTGTCAAACCCTTGATCATTTTAGCTGAGTGTGGCTGGGTTTTTAATACTTCACTTTCACAGAGCAGAACAATAGTGTTTATTACTGTTTGAGAGGAAAAAAAGCAGTTGTATCTAAGTTTTCCCAGATCAAAGTGGTGTAATCACATGATGTATGTAAAGCATAGAGTTATGTCTGGGTTAATCTAATCTTTGTAGCAGAAAGATGTGATTTTCTTTGAACATGAGGTTTAATGTTTAATTGAATGTGATTGATTTAATTACTTGTAACGAGGTTATCCCACTAATAGAAACTTCTGGGGTTTAGTAACTTATCTGTGTTTGAGAATCCTGATTGTCTATCCCTTGTTTTGCAGAGGGAGATTTAGCCTTGCAGGGAAGTATTGGAAGTCTGTCCTTAAGTGATCTTACAGCTCATGGAGAATTTTACAGAGAACGTTTCACTACCAGTGGTGAAGAAGCTCTCATTTTCCAAGTCTTTAAGTATGAATTTAAACTTCTTGTTACTCAGTATTAGCTCCCAACACTCCCAAAACCCAAACAAACCCAAAATACCCAAACTCTCAGGGCTGCATGATTCTGCTTTGGCCTTTCGTGACCTAAATGAGACTTTGAACATTTTCAGTCATAAACTTACGATTTTTAACTTTTCTTTGTCTGCAATGTATGTGGTTTATCAAGAAAAGTAGCTTTTTAATTCCCTCTAAAGCTGTTCTTGAAACTACATTGATAGTTCCTAGATAAAACAGTAGTTGATTTTTAAAAGATGGAAAAGATTTTCAAGTGATGAAATAGATTTTGCATTGCTTCTTAATTTAGGAATTAGGGGTTTGCTTTTGTCATAGTGTACATTTGAATTTCTTCTGCTTTGTTTAAAGCCAGAGTTCTTATCCTGTGCTGTTTCATGGTTTGCCACCCCCTCCTCCACCCACTAGAATTAATCAGAGTAGAAATTATTCAAGTAGTGTTATGGAATTAATTTCAAATATATCAGCACACTGATTCAGAGTTGAATGTACACATTATCATGCAGTGGAGCACTTACCTTAAGATATAAAATCACCAAAGGTCTATCTGGTGTGTAGAGCTAAAAGGTACATTCCAAATGTAGAATTTTCTTGTTTGCTTAATTAAAACTCCTACATATACATAATTTAGAAATAATTAATACAAGCCCAATTCTTCATGTCTGTAACTGAAATAGTTTTAATTACATGCCGTGAACATCAGTTAAATCCTCTATATTATTATTATTTTGAGTGCAAAAAAATGAATAAGCGGTTTATAAAAGGTAGCTGAGATTGCTAAATGTTGCTTTTAACCTTTCTTCCAGGTATGGGAGGCCAGACCCTTTGCTGCAGAGGGAGTGTGACATCCGTGTCACCCTGAGGATGGCCTCAGTGCAGTATGTGCACACCCAGCGCTTCCAGGCTGAGGTGGTGTCCTTCATCCAGCATTTCACTCAACTTCAGGACGTCTTGGGGAGGCAAAGAGCAGCCATTGAAGGACAAACAGTATGTCTGGGGTTTTTTCTGTTCTTTCCCAGCTTGTCTTTTGCAGTTGAAATGCAATATGTAATTTAAGTTAATGCATCAACTCATTTTAATTGAAATGGTGAGAGGCTTCGGAGTTCTGGTGTTGCTGCAGATTTCTCATCTTGTAGTCAAAACACCTTATTTAGGGCCATCCTGCAGCTCTTTGAAAGTGTAGAATACCAAATGTACACATTACTTAAAACACTTGGATCCTGCAGGATGCACTGGACAAAAAGTCAAGGTGTTATCTTACCTTTTTCTCCAATGTAATAATACCTGAATAAGGAGAACCAAGGGAGAAGTTCTGTTCCACTCAGGTCTCTGGTTTAGTTTGCTGGTAGACTGAGAAAATCAGATGCTGAACTCAAGCATGATAAAACCTATCAATAATCATGACAGTCATGGACTATTTTATGACAAAACCTAATGTGGGAGTGACTTATGTAGTTAGTAGTGATAGTCATGTTTAAAAGTTGCTTCTCATAATTGGAGGAAAGACAGTGAATGCTTGGACCTATTAAAATGCTTCGTTGTACATCACTTGGAGAGTCTGAATCTGATTTTGAAACATCTGTTCTAAAGGATGGGGTTTTTTTCCTTTTGTAAATAATTTTTCTTGAGTAAGGTTTTTAACAGTGAGCTGAGTGGTGTCTGGTTTGCCCCTTAGCTCAGTGGTGACAGTGTGTGTCACTCCTGATGCTGCACCTGCTGCACAGGTATTTCCTCTTGGCATCAGAATCCTTTTTTAATGACCCTTTATTCTCTGCCTGAAACAAGAGGTTGAGGTGTTCTTTTTTTGTATAAAATTTTACCACATCTTAATTCTGTAAATCAAAGAGTAGTGTTCCTGAGTTCAGTACTAATCAGTGTGAAATAATCACCCACTTCCTGGAATTTTCGTAATTATTTTTTTAAATGCATTTTTGCTTTTCCCAGGTAAGAGACAAAGCCCAGAGAGCTTCCCGAGTTCTCCTTGATATTGAGGCTGGTGCTCCTGTTCTGCTTATCCCTGAAAGCTCCAAGTCCAACAGTCTCATTGTAGCTAATCTGGGAAAGCTGAAAGTCAAGAACAGATTCCTGTTTGCGGGAATGCCAGGCACCTTCTCCTTAAAGAACAAGGTAAGAACATGACTTCATTTAACAACTGGGGGGTTTCCTAGTTCTTGTGCATTTTATTTCTGCATTCTGGTAAATGATTCTTATGTTTTACTTTATATGTAGACTTTTTACTACTAATAATGCCAGTCTGTGCCAGTGTGCTGGGTAATCTTATGGATCTGTGCCTGCACCCGGGGTTGTTGTCTGAGGCATTCAGGACAGAGGGACTGAACTGAGTCTGTTCTGAGAGAACAGAGGGAATAAAGGAGTGAACCCACTCCAGCTGGTCTTGTTGGGAAGTAGGACCCAGCTGGGTGCACACCTGAACCTGGGAGCACAACGGGCTTCCAGCTGACTCTGCTGGGTAGCAAAAATTTCCACCGTGTGAGTCACAGAAAACAAGGATCTGTGTAGGTTCAGACTTGGGGCAATACACTGAAGAGCAGAATTGGGTTCAATTTATGGTTTTGTGCTCTCAGTGTGTGTAGTTGCTTTGATCAGTGAAACCTAGTGAAAGGTTTCCCTTGCACCCCTGGCAAGGCACAGGACAGGAGGAGCTGGTGTTGCTCTTGAGAGATGCAGCCCCAAAATTTGGGGTAAGGAAAATCCATCTTGGATGGCTTTCTGTATCTAACCTAAGCAACAAAATAGGTGGTTGTCTGGGAACCCCTAATTCCATTTTGAAGGGTGGTAGGAATGAGATGGATTAAATTGCTGCAGCAGTTTATGGTGTGTCTGTTGCCTCCATCTGATTTATATCCACCAGTGTCTTTGCTGTAAGGAAACACTGGACTGCAATATTGAGTTGTTTTCTGTTCTGTACTGATATATTTAAGGGCTTGTAAGTGGTAGATTCCTAAATTTATATAAGAAATTAAAACAAAGGATGTGTGCACAGTAGTTTTATTTCAACCTAAAAATACTGTGTTGTGTAGCACTGTAGAAATTTAGGTGTTTGAAATGGGATTAGGTGTGGTTTGGCTTTTTTTTTTGGTGGTTTTGTTTTCATTTTTTTCTCTGTTCTATGTTTATTTTTGAGGATCGGATTTTGCAAGGCAATGCATACAAGGATCCTGTTTTATTTGAGGTATTTCACATCTTTGTGGCAGTGTTCAGGTGCTCCTCATTCATCTTTAAAAAAGGAAATATTCTTGTGGAATTTAGCACTTTAAAAAGTTCCTTCATTCATTAAAAATTATGTTTTTGTTCTAAAGATTTTGCTAAATTCTATAAGAATTGGATTTAAATTTGTTGTGGTGTGCTCTTTCTGCATGTCTGAGGAGCTGTTAATTTGGATTTAATTGCATAAATTCATAGATTTATTGATGATGTGATGACTTTTCTTTGCATGTACTTATGAAATGTTAATTTTTTCAAATTTTTTTTCTTAAAATCCTTATCATGATGACAATGAATTTTTGCAATTTTTTCTAATATTTAAAAACCACATAAGGGAAGAAAATGGTCACTCCATCATGGAAAACTATGAAATTGGTCAAGCAGGATTTTTGGGAGAAGAAATTCCTAATGTTGATGTGACTTTTCCTAGCGAACTTACCCTTTGCAGGTTTTTGATGCAAGGCAACTCATAAGATTTCCATGGCATATGTTATTTTCATCACCTGAAAAACAGCTTTAAATATTTAACCATCTTTATTCTGCAGAAATGTTTAGTATCTTGACAGTCTTACCTCTCCATTTTGTATTAATTCCATTTACATGACAGCTTTTTTGTTTTGTGCAAAACCCTGTAATTTTGAATTAGTTTCTCATTGAAAAGATTTCACAGCTTTTTGGGAAATGTTGGTGAAATGAACTTTTTAAGAAAGAAAATGTTTTCATCTGCTGATAAGATTGTAGGATAAAAGTTTGGCCATCAGTAAAAGATACTGGCATTCAAATAAAATATGTAGTTTTTGACAGGAATTTGTTGCAGCTTGAGCCTTGGTGCACTGGTTCCTTAGAATTTAAATTAAATATCTATTCTTAATTATAAAATTCTTTTCTTTAGCAGGATTCAGTTCAATTTTCATCTCCTTTGGGAACCCCAAAACACAGCATGAAGAAAACAAGTGCTGATGAGTCCAAAGTACCGATGGAAGGGCTGGTCATGAAAAAATCCTCAGGAACAAACGTTTCCAGGCTGAAGAATGAGCCTGCACTGAACACTTCAAATAAACAACAAGGGCACCAACCCAAGCTGCCTGTTGTACCCAACCCTGACAGCCCAGGTATGTGAGGAACAGGAGAAACCCCCCAGAGCTCTTCTTTTTTCTGGTGAAATAGGACAGGGACATTTTGCTTCGATCTCATGTGACACTGAAAAAAAAAAAGGCTCTGGGTCTGAAGACTGTGGATTTGAAAAGAAATGACTTCTTAGATGTCAGGCTGATTTTTACAGCTGAAAGGATTAGGGAGTTGTAGTTCAGCTCCTGGAAGAACATTCCTGCAGTTTGGGTAGTTTGAGTTGCACATTGCAGACACAGAAATGTAGTTGGACTCTCAACTGAGAGTTTACATTTACCTGTGAATGAGCTCAGTGTCTGGTAGTTACAGATACTGATGAGTGTGAATAAAAAAAATTTAAAAATTGGAATAAAATCAAGACAAAATCATATTTCTTTTTAAAAGTTAAATTTTTCCTTAAAGTGAACGAGTTGGTATCTGGTAGTTACAGATAGTGATGATTGTGAATAAAACCCAAAAAATTTGGAATAAAATCAAGAGTAAATTAAATTTCTCGTTAAAAGTAAGGTGCATTAGTTTTGTGCAGATTCTGTTTTTTTCTTTCTGAACGTGTTATCTCCTCCCTGCAGAGGATCACATCTGCCTCTTAGACTGCATTGTGGTTGATCTGCAGGACATGGACATCTTTGCTGCACAGAGATACCAGAGAGAGTATTCCAAGGCTGTGGAAGATACCAGTGCAGACTTGAGCTTTCCATCCTACTTGGTGAGGCAGACAGGGGGGAGCCTGCTGACAGAACCCTTCAGACTGAAGTTACAAGTGGAGAGAAACTTGGACAAGTGAGTTTGAACAGGATCCCTTTGTGCTGTCAGCCTGAAGCTGTGTTTCACGTGCCTTTTACTGTACCCTGAAAGCCTTGCCTGCTGTGTAAGAGCTCCTGGGAAGGCTGAGGTTTCCCCCTTTGTTGCAGGGAGCTGAGCCATGCAGTTGCAGACATATCAATACATGGCAACCTGTCATCAGTGCACTGCTCCCTGGATCTGAACAAGTACAAACTGATCCGTGGGCTGCTGGAGAACAACCTGGGGGAGCCCATCGAGGAGTTCATGCGCCCTTACGACCTGCAGGATCCCAGGATTCATGTAAGAGGAGCTGTGTGCAGCTGGAATTCTGTCTTGGAGTGTCTCTGGGGGTTTTGCTGATGGCAGCAACATTTTAAGAACAGAGCTATAGACCAGTAGTGTGAAAATGGATTAACAGACATTTTCAACTCCAAGGCCACACTGCTGTGAAATGTAACATTTCCCCAGGAATGGCTGCTGACACTCCCTGAAGGAGAGGGACCCCACAGCTGTTTGCATTGGCCTGGGATAAGGTTTAATTCAGAAATGAAAGTTAAACAGATGCTCTGAAAAAGAATGTTGGTGTTTTCCACTTTCAGACAGTTTTGAGTGGAGAAGTGTACACTTCCATGTCGTTCCTCATTGACATGGTCAACGTGAGCCTGGAACTGATGGATCCAAAGGGAAGAGATGGACACAGCTCTTTAGCCAGGTATGAATGTCCTTTTGTTACTCAATTCCTTATCCTAAATACTATGCTCATCTGAAAGATATAGGACAAGAATTAAAGTAATATGTGGAATTACAGTTTAATAATGCAGTGAAATAGAATTTCTTAATTAGAGTTCAAATGAGAGTTTGAGCTGCTCTGAAAGATGGAAGGGAATGACACTGTACAAAAGATACCATCTGTGTCCTTCCAGTTGATCTTGAAACAACAGTTCAGTAATCAGTTAACTTCCTCAAGATGAATAGTATTTTAATTAAGGAAATGATGTGAGGGAAGTTTAAAAAAAACAGATTTCTGCTCTATGTTGGCTTGATTTGTTTGGGTTTTTTTTTTAATCCAGAAGGTTCTGTATAATTGGAAAATATAATTACATACAGTATAGATCTACTTTCTATCACTGTGACATGAGATGTGATTATAGTTGTTTTAGAAAATACCTAAATGGAAGATACCATCAGTATCCCATACTTTTAAAATCAGTGCCTTCAAGGAATAAATATACCCTAAGTCTCTTCAATGCATTGTTTCGCTTTTTATTCTCCCAGGTTTGATTTTAAGAAATCCAAGTTGCTTTTTGAAAGCTCTTCCAATGGAACAAAGTCTGTCAATCTGGTTTCCCATTCCATGATGGCCTTTGACACCCGTTATGCTGCACAGAAATACGCTGCAGGGCCCCCAAATGTCTTCAACTGCATCTTCCAGTCCTCCAAGAACACCAGCAGCCCAGGAGCCATCCAGATTGAACTGCACTTCAGGTTGGGAATTCTGGGATTTGCTTGTTTTTAATAATGACATAACCAGCATTGTCCTGTTGTAATACCCCTATTATTAATGTAGATAAACTTGCTGGCATTGTTTTTAAATCTGATCATATTTTTGGGGTGGTCAGTGGTACTTGATAGATTGAAATCTGCGGTTATTAATTAACTGAAAGTTGGATTTTTTTTCTCCCTTTTTGCAATAAAATTTAGGTTTGAATGTCTAGTGAATCAGATGAAGTTCTGACCTATCAAAATCAGTAGTGCTTAAAGCTCGATAAGTCTGGCTTATCACTTGTATGTTTGCATAAAATCAGACTGTAGAATTTGTAATATAAGTTGTAAAAAAGCTGTTTCCCAGCAGGTGTCACACGAGCCTTTCTGAGACCATCAAATACAGACTGAAACAGCACCTCTTTCAAAAACAACCTCTATATTCTCTTCTGTGTTCTGTCCTATCCTGTTTGCTTTTCCTAGTCTATTTTGATCTAATTTAATATCGAAAATGGGAATATGAAGTATAATGACAGTATTTACCAGTATCAGCATGGTGTTTGGTAGGGAGATGTTAACTTTAAAAGGAGGGTGAACTAGAGATGTTGCTTTCACTTTTGTTCAGATTTACTGACCAAACACAGGCTTTTCACTCTTCTATAAGTGTGACACCTTCTGAAGCAGTTGCAGGAGCAATGTAGAAAAAAACCTGTGGACTATTTTAATCCAACAGAAAACCTTGAAGCCTTTTGTTCATAAAAACCAATCAAAGAAACTTCAGACAATTGAGAGAAATTTGTTTTGAAGGTTTGGATGCTACATGATGGTTATAAGTACTTAATAAGTGTGTTCAGAAAGACATTGACATTTTGATTGGAATAAAACTAAGGTGGGATTTACTTTAAAAAAACCTAAACCCCCACCAGCTGGTTTTCACAGGACTGTTGAGTCAGTAGCTGCCTAGATTAGGCACAGTTAGTGAGTTTGCACAGTACAGCCTAATCTGGTTTATGAGTGATGGCTTCAAGAATCTTCTTCCCAACTGTTATGCTTTTCCATTTCAGCCACAGCAGCATGTGTTCTGCTTTTAGTGGTGAGAGCATCCTTGGCACTGGATGGAGGTGCTGGCAGAGCTCAGTGATAGTGTTGTACTGGCTGGTGCCTTTTGAAATCTCCTGGAGAGCCAGGGAGAGTTAAAGGCTTGTGCTGTTGGAAGCAGAGCAGACAGGCTGCTCCCACAAAGGATCACAGTTCTTTAGAGATTTTATAGTCCACAATGTGCTGGATATAAAACTGTTTCATGGTACTTAAACACTTAGATGACTTTCCAGTTAGCATGACCAAATATAAGTGGTATTCCAGATCCTGAAGCCAAACACTTTTATCCCTCCTAGCCAGACACTCAGAATGTGATGCTGGGAGTTCAGGCAGGCTGACATTTTTTGGGGATGACAGAGCAGCTTCCTGTGCTGCAAAATGCTGTCAGGGTGTGAGGGGAAACACACTGAACGTCTCATCTCAGAGCCAGGTCTGAGTTTCACATGCAGTACTTTAGGTTTGATACCCAGCAGATGTCAAATGATAATAAAAAGATCAGTTTTAAAATCTGAGACTTTGCAAATTCATATCAATAATGTAAATGTATTAAAGGAGCTTTTATAAATGTCCTGTTAGGCAGTTTCTCAGTTCATTCTTTTTGTCATTGCAGCATAGAATTCATGCACTTAAGACCTGTTGGGTGTCTGTGGGTACAGCAACTTGATGAATTTCAATGTTATTCAATCTTATATATATCTTATTTAGTCTTATATATGATTGACTTTTATTCAATCATATATATATAAAATAATAATCTTATTCAATTTTTTTTTTAAAGGACAGACTAAGTGTATCCCTTGGAAGTTCATATAGTTCTTACTGGATACTGATAGTTTTCGGCATGGTTTTAAATCTATGCAGGATGTAAAGTTCACTTGTATTCTTTTCTCTTCTTGAAAGGTCTACTAAGGATTCCTCCAGTTTCACAGTTGTTCTGAACAATCTTCGTGTATTCCTGATATTTGACTGGTTGTTGCTGGTCCATGACTTTTTATATACTCCTGGAGATACCAAAAAGCGGGAAAACCCCCTTTCGTCCCGGCAGAGAACTTACATCAGTGACACAACTGTGGTTCCCAAAGCAGTGAAAAGTGGGGTTGTTACCAAACGTTCTTCACTGCCTGTGACTGCAGAAAAGCAGCTGGAAGTGAAGGTTAATGTGACAGGTAAACGTGCTCTTCTCTAGTGCTTTTGTAGGAGCTTTTCTCGTTAAAATCCATGTGCTGGTGGAAAACCAGATCCGTTAAAGGAAATCAAGAAACCTGCTGCAAATGCTTTAAATAACTCAGTGATATTGCCAGTTGCCCTGGTTATTATTTGTGGCTTTGTTTGGTTCAGGAACTGAGTTTGTGGTGGTTGAAGACATGTCTTGCTTCGATACCAACGCCATTATTTTGAAGGGGACGACTGTTCTCACCTACAAGCCCAAGCTGTTGGATCGTCCTTTCTCTGGGAGTTTGTTTGGCATTGAGGTGAGAACAAAGAAATTTGCTGTTGTCAGACATCTAAAATTAGAGGAGCTTGTGAAGATACTTCACTAGAAATATGCATACAACAGGAATAACACACAAATTATTTTTGAAGTTTGTTAGTTCCTCATCAAATGCTCCCATTTTATAGAGTTTTGTATTGTTTCTCTTAAGACATTGAAACACTTGACTGGAACCCCAAAATATTGCTAGTTCTTGCCTGATCTGTTTGCTCAGTTAATAATTTTTTTTTTAAATAATTTTCAATTTTTAGGTGTTCTCATGCAGGTTAGGAAATGAGCAAGAGACTGCACTGTCAATTATTGATCCAGTACAGATTCATATGGAGCTTGTTGGGAATTCTTCCTACCCAAGTGGTTCAGGACTGCTGGATGCTTTCAATAGTGAAGATTTTCCTCCTATTCTAGAGGTAATATTAAAGGCCTGAATAAAACTCTATGTGATAGAGAATACTAAAGTATGATCTAGCACAGATATTTTTATGCCCAAGGATTCAGTAGAAGACTTCTGAAGTCATAAGAAAAGAATAAGATAATTTTTTCCTGAAGTGAAAAAGGGAAAGAAAAAAGCATGAAGAAAATGCTCTTAGTGGTAATGAATGAGGGAATTTTGGGATGTACTGTAGAGATTAATAGTGGAGGAAAGAAGAGGGCTTTGTAGATAATGTAGACATGTGAGTTACTCATACCTGAGAGACAAAGTTATTTTTCTGTATCTAATTGTCAGAACTTATTAGAGGGGAATTCTATGTAGAGACTTTTTTACCATTATACTAAAGTAAAAACATTTTTCCCTTGAGATGTGCTTTTAACACTTTTGGTTGTTGGTAAATATGTTTGCCAATTTTATTATTGGAGCTTCCAAACAGTGTGATCATCAGCTTTTAACACTAAATTTTGTCCTCCTTTGGGAAAAGCTTTATTAATATCCAAAGTACACAAGAAAAAATATGTAGAAAAGGATTTAAGCGACTCTTATATTTTAATTTTTCATTTAGATTCAGTTGCAGGCACTGGATATCAGACTGTCCTACAATGATGTTCAGCTCTTCTTGGCAATTGCAAAGTCAATTCCCCAGCAGACAAGTGCAGCTCTGCCTGACTCAACTGCTGCAAGTGCTGCTCATCCCCCCAGCTCAGCTCTGGGGACTGAGGCCTCCTCCACACATGAAAACAGGGATATATCCAAACGTGTGCTGGATCCTGTGCTTGGTATGTTTTTAACTGTTGGAGTGAAGCCATTTTTTTATCTAAAGAAGGTTTCTACACAAAAGATGTGGGTATCTCCATGGTGTAAAACACTTGTTGATTATAATTATCTGATGATGGTACTATAACAACAGTAAAAGCAGTGCTGAATCACGTGCTTTTACTGCAGTTGCAATCTGAAACAAAACCCCCGTTTTTCATGCAGATATATCTTGATTTTAGAAATGAAACCAAGTAGATAGCTGTCAAGGATTTATGACTGGTTAACTGTTCCATTCCAGAGGTGCAGCTGGCTCGCCTCCAGGAGCTGGGATTCAGCCTGGAAGATTGTCGGAAAGCTCTTCTGATCTGCCAAGGTAACAGCAGATATTTAGTTGGCCTTGCAGATTGTCCCTATTACCTTAATTACAATTAAATAAAAACTTTCAGACTGTCAGGTAGCTGATGCACAGGCAGTATTTCCTTCTTCAGAATTTTTTTACTTTGGCTCTGTGTTGGAATAATCTCAAACATTCTTTTTCCTGTTCTGCTGCTCTGTAGCACCCACCCCCCAAAGACTGTCCTTGCCTTTTTTGGGGTGTCATATGTGGGATGTTTGGGTGTATTTTTGTTTGGGGGTTTGGGTTATGTGCAGGTTTATTCTTTTTCATGGTGTCCCTGCTTCTTGCCGTTATCCATCTCTTCCTCTTCAGAGCACATGTTTTCATCTCTCCCTTTTTGAATCATATATTCCCTATTTCTCCATGCAATATATGAAAAGGTGAAGCTTTAACAGAAGTGATTATTTTTCTTTAGCATTGTTATGCTTCCCAGTTTATTTAGAGGCATTCCTAGCATTAATACAGATTTTTATTATGTTGCCACTTGATTTGCAAACTTCAAAACACATTTCTCACTCTTAAAAAATTCCTATGTATGTATAATCTCATATTTGTGCTATTAAACAGAACACATTTAAGGGACTGTTGGTGACTTGCCATAAGAGGAAGGGGAATAGTTTGCTTTCATATGTTTTTTACTAAATACCTTGAGGAAGTAGATGGTGATTGATTGGTTGTTTGCTTTTATCTAAGGTGACTTGAAAAAAGCAGCAAGTTGGTTGTTTAAGAATGCTGAACCTTTGAAATCAGTTTCCCAGACCTCTTCTGCTCGAGACAGCCAGGGGATTGTGCCTTTCCAGTTCATCTCTGGAGTGGAGATAAAGGCAGAGAGTGTGTGCATTTGCTTTATTGATGACTGCATGGACTGTGACGTGCCCCTGGCTGAGTTAACCTTCTCACGTGAGTGTTTGCTTCTGCCTTGCACAAAATGACTGTCAGTGACTGCTTTCAGCTCTGCTTTCTCAGGACTTGTGGAATTTTAACTGATGGTGTTTTGGTAGTGGGGTTTGTGGGGGGTTTTGGGGGGTCTTTTTTTGGTTTTGTTAGGTTTCTGGTTTTGTTTTTAAGAAGATCATAGTCCTTGTAGTGTTTAAGACTCTGGTTTCCCCTTTATACATCCCATAACTAATGGAATCTGTGCTGAGCAGAACCCTGGGGAGGCTCCATGTTGTAAGGCATGGCTGTCTGTAAATGCTATTTGAAGAGTATTTTGATAGGCTTTGTGTACCATTTCAGTTTACAAGACAAGACAAAACCTTCCATTGCCTAATTAAGAGTTTATAAAATTGGGGAGCTTGATTGTTTTGCATCAGTGTAACATTCACTTTTTTTCCCCCCCCAGGTTTGAATTTTCTCCAACATTTGCGAACCAGCCCTGAAGGTTACGCTCATTTTACCCTCTCTGGAGATTATTACAATCGAGAGCTTTCAGGTGAAATACCTGGGGAGTTGTTGTTTTCTTATTTATGTTTAGGAAACAGCCTTTCCTACTACAGGAGCCTGAAATTCTCCTGACATGAAATTTGTGTCTGTCTGTGTGTGTGAGAACAAGTGATCATAGACAAGATACCCTGACTTGAGATCAGGTGGAGGGATGTGGAAATTTGAGGTTTTGCTGATCTGAGAATAGCACTGAAGTTTTCAAATGTAATTGCAAAAGAAGGTTATCCAGGAACATGACAGTTATGTAACTAGGGGTATCTGTATTCACATTTTCAGTTTTTACTTGCTTGGTGCAGTCAGTTTGTTACGCATTTCAGGAAGGAAAAGCATGTGAGGGCAGGTGATTAGGCTGAAGTCAATGGAATTAACATAAGAAGACCATTAGAATTTATATTTTAAATTAAGAAAAACAAATTAGGCCTCAATCCAGGTCAGACACTGACAAAAGAAATAATCTAGTTGTGGTTTTTTTCTGAATTGAGGAACTAAATTTTCTGATATGTAATTGGTGACAACCACCTCAGGAATTATCTACCAATAGCAAGGCAGTTTTTTTGTTTTTAAAAATACATAGAGGGGGATTTTTTTAATAGCTTTTAGACCTTTGTCTTATGTGATACTGAATAATAGGCCAACTTATGCATAACTGTATGAAAATCATTTTCAAAACTATTTCAGAGGGCTTAGTTGCAGCTGACTTAAATAAGAAGCAGTAATTGCCTTCTAATGCTTTAATTGGAATTAAGATATTTCTGCAAGGCCTTACATGCAGTGTACATAGTATCCATACATGGTATGCAGTGTGTACATACAGGATACACGGCTCAAATGGAGGAGCCGGAGCAACTTCATATTAGGTAGCAAATTAAATACAGTTTATCTTGAACGCAGATTAAAAGTAAAGGATTAAATACTGAAATATGTAAGCACCATTCCAGGGTGGCCTTCCCACGTGCAGCAGAGGTGACTTTGTGTTTGTTCCCAGGCTGGGAGCCCTTCATTGAGCCGTGGCCCTGCTCGGTGTCTTGGCAACAACAGGCCTCGAGCCGCCTCCACCCCTCCCGCCTGAAGCTGGAAGTGAAGGCCAGACCACGCCTGGATATAAACATCACCTCTGTCCTCATAGGTACGTGGGAATATTCCCTGTGCAGCCTGATTGTCACTCCTGAACAGGACAGACAGCTCTGACCGAGCCCTGCTGGTGTCCCTTGGAGGGGGGGGAGTTGGGCAAGTCCCCACATCCCTTCCGTGGTGTTTTACACAGGTGTGTGTTTGGGCAGGCACTGTCAAAGTGTAAAGACATGAGCTGCATGTTTTAGAGGTTAGCAGGGATTCTTTCTCTGCTCATATGAATTCTATCAAATTCATATGTTATTTGAAATTTAGTTTTGATCAGAAACAGGCTTTCATCTAAAGCTTTCCATACTGTACAGTGCTTAAAAATATTTTGGGAAGCTCGTCATTTTTCAGTACGTTGACAGGTGTAGTGGGGAGCTACTCTTTTCAGTTCTGCAGTCTCTGAACACCTGAGCTTCAATTCCCACCTTAGGAAATAAAAATGTTTTGTTCGTCATTAATTCAAATTTCATGTGAGCTGCTGTGTTGCTGGGCTGTGATCGTGTGCATTTCCCAGGAATATTGTTGCTCATTGTGAATAATTTGGTGAGCACAGTAAAGAAATGGCAACAGCTGAGTTTGCAGATGGAACAGAAAAGCCTTCCTTGGTCCTTTCTCCCAGAAGACCTGTGGGGTTGGCAGAAAGAGGGGAGCCAAAGTAGCAGGAAAAGCAAATCAGTGATTCCTAAGAGTTCCAATGATGCTTTTAAATACCAGTGAGAACAAGTAGTAAGGCTGGTTTGTGATTAATACTGTGCTAAAGGACCCGATTAGTGTCTTGATATTTATGCAGGAATGTGGCTGTACTTCTTAAAACAAAAGAACCAAATCCCTAGGAAGTGCTTCTAACATGGAAATATTTATGGTTAATTGCCTCCACAAGGAGAGCTCTTAGATTGCCTTAGGAGTGTCTTAAGAACATGGAATTCCACTTAAAATTTTTTTTTGAAAAATAAAATCTTTATTATTTGTTTTTGAAGATAGTGCTGTGATTTTATGAGCTGTTGTTTGTCTTTGACTCATATAAGTGTTTCAAAAAAAAAAACCAGTGAGATAAAACCGCTGCCATTAAAGTGGAGTAACTTGAGTGTGATGAATTTAACACACTTTTCAATGACTTTGTTTACTGCCACCTTGGAGACATTGGCTGTCTGTGCTTACATTCCTCTAGAGCAATACACATGTACCAAACAGTCATGGATGGAAGATTACTGTAAACAGGACAAAGAAGTGAATGTAATCAGCTCAGAAGACTGGATGGGCTCTTCGGTGGATCCCCCATGTTTTGGGCAGAGTATGTTGCTCATTAATCACACTTTATTTGAAACAGTCCTGACACACACGGTCATCTGTCTAATGTATTACAAACAGAAGTACTTGGGCTTCACAGCACACAGTGATTTGTTAGAGATGTTTGGCAAAAAAAAAGAAAAAAAAAAAGACAAAAAAGCTGTGTTCTGTTCAGTTGTGTTCAACTCTTTAAAAACAAAAACCATTCTGGCTGCTTAGCTTTGAGTGAGAGCTTTGCACTGCTCGTTCTGCTTCCTTTTTTTGTCAGTTAATGAGTGACTCTCTCATCAAAGATTAAATCAAGAGTATTGGCTCTAGGGCATGTGCAGTTCAGAGGGGATCTTTTTCTTTCTGTACCCCAAAGTCCTGTATAACTGAGTTTCTGGGGAAAAATCCTGTTTAATTTGTGAAACTTAATACGTGACAGGTCTTTTTAGCTTCTCTTGTCCCAGAATTACTTCTGGAAGAAATTCAAATAAAATTTGAATAAAATTTAAATAAATTTGAATAAAATAAAAGTCTCTATCCCTGGCTCAGTGTAAGCCAAGGGATAGAGACTTATAACTGCATGATGCCAACTGTATCTTCCTCAATGCATGATGGGGAAGATCTGCCTGTATTTATGTGTTTTTTCTGACCTGCTAACTTTGTCTTTCCTGTCTGCCAGGCCTTCCTCTTGTGTACCTTAGAACTAGGAGTACAGCCAGTTTGACTAACCTAGAGCATCAGATCTATGCTAGAGGTACTGTACAGAGAGAGACCAAAAAAAAAAAAGGTGGTTTTCTTCTTTGGAAGGCTCTTGTACAATAAATACTGTGCTGTATGTGTGACTTGCTGGTAGACTGGCCTCTATATTTAAAAATAATCAAACCTCGAAAAACCTCAAGCTAAAGAACATGACAGCTACTTTTATCCTGGGTTTATCTGTTATTCCTCTCTGGAACCTTAAGGAAAGAAGGGAGAAGTATAACTAACCCTATGAATTATATGAATTATTGGCTATTCAATGTCCCTTTTCTAGAGAGACAGTATAGTGTAATTAAAAATAGCATAATATCACAGTATTTTATTTGTATTCTAAAAATATCCAACATTATGTTCAATGTACCTACTTATGCCTAATTCAGCATATTTAGCTACTTAAAACTTTCAGATGCCTTCAAAAAGAACAATCTGTTTTCAGTAAGCCTTAGGATGTAAGGCATTCCTACCAAATATCTTGTTAATTTGTTTGGGTTATACTTGACTTTACAGTCTTGGGGCAAAACCATACAGTTTAAAGTAAGATTTTTTTTAATTTTTGACATTATGGAAGACAAAACAGCACACTTGATAAATATGTAGCCCTGTAGAAAAGTTGCTGAGGGGGAGGACACAACGTTTTCTAGAAATCTGCATTTGTGGCCTGTTCAAGTGCCCCTCAGAAATATTTTCTCTGAGTTTAAAAAAAAAAAAAACAAACTCAAAATGGAAAATGATAGAAGGGCTTATTTTTCTGAAAGATTTTTCCAAAAATCAAACAAACAGCAAAACTTGTATTATTCAATGCTTGGCTTTTAGTGGGTGTTGCAGCTAAATTACTAAATTAATTATGAAAAAACCCTCCTTGTAATGGTAATCTTTTTTTTTTCATGCAGTAGTCTCAAAATGCAACTTTTACATTATGTTTTCCTTTGAAAATCAGGCCATGGTCCCAAAAATTCTTTTTTAAAAGTCTCAAAAAATAAACTGGCAATCGATTAAACAACAGAGTAAAAGTTCATTTGGCTTCTGGTCTGTAATTTTGTAGAACCTGGATTAGCCAAAAAATTATATAAAGTGAATCTCAAAACTAAAAACATTTATTTGCAGTTGGCAAAAGTCAGTGTTTTCATTTTCAAGGATTTCATCTTCTTGCCATTTAATTGGAAAGAACTTTCCCCATGAGCTTTAGATCAGATTTAAGTCTCTGCTTAGGTTTATAGGGGGTTGTTGTTATTGATTTGGAAGAAAGTTTTATGTGATTATTAGTAACTCCTTCAAAACCTTCCCTGTCCTCCTCACCTTACCCCTTCTTGCCCCTGTAAACCTGTGCTGAAGCTTTTGGAGCACTTGCAGATCAGTTCTGGGGAATAGATTTCATTTCTGTCCTAACTTTCCTTTAAGCAGCTGATTTATTGTGTGCACCTTCCTCCCACTTCTCTCATACCAAAAGATGTGGGTATTTAGGTAGCAGCCATTTATCTTCCTTTTTAAGTAAGTTGCTGGACTTTGACAGGGGTTTTTCTCTGTCCAAACACAGTAAGTATTTTCACAGCCTTGATGCACTGCAGTGTGGAAGATGAGAGTAACACTTGTGTGCTGGTTAGAAATCCATGCTTGGAAAAATTCAACCAGGGGAAGTGAAGTATCTTCTGGGATTTTGCTGTCCAGTTTTTTAACAAAACCAGGTTGCCTCTGGTTGCACTCAAGTTATTTTCCATACTTTGTTCTAGTAGGTTTTATCCTGTTTAGGAAAATATTTCTACTTATTCAGTCTTTGAGGATAAAAGTCCCATTCAAAAAGGGTACTGGCTAATTCTGTATTTATCACATTAAATACAGTATAGATCTTAATTGTAATTGAATGTGTGTTTAGTACTTCATGAGCATTTGGATGTCCATAAAAAGTTCCTGATTATGCTTGGGGTTTTAGTTAGATTTTCTACACATTAGGTCTAACTGGAGGCAGAGGATTTTGTAAGACTTGATATGAAGAAACAAAAGAACGGGTTAGATCAAGCTTAGTTCCCAGGGGGGTTGATGTAGGGGAAGACTTTCTGTTTGTTTTATCCCATTTCTGTAACAGTTACTGATTTAAAAAATGTCATAGATAATCTGATATCCTGTTTCTTCGATCAGTTTTTCTTTGGTTAGTGCAGGTTTTGGTTCTCCAGCCATTGTGTCTCATCCCACACTATCATCTCATAAACGCTTCTCCTGGGCATTCAGACAAGTGTGGGTTGTGTTTTGTAGGTGAAATGAAGACTCCAAAGCGCAGGCAGCCCTTTGTGCCCTTTGCTCTGAGGAATCACACTGGATGCACTCTGTGGTTTGCCACCCTGACCACAACCCCGACCCGGTAAGGACCTGTTGGGGCATCACTTCAAACAGATTTGGCTGGTTTCACTTCCACGTCAGCCAAACCCTGTTGTTTGCAGTGCTTTTGTTCTGCAGAGACACATAAGCAAGTCTCAGTTTTAGTTAAGAGCCTCTTCCTTCACACTGAGATAGTTTTACTGCTTTAAAAAAAACAAACAAATTGTTTTTTTCAAGAGGCCCAACAGAACATGAAAACTACTCAGATACACTCATGATGTGAATGTGTTCACTGAGGACTGAGGCAGAGTAAAAGGCACTTGTCACTTGAAGTAGTCAGTTTGTAAAATGCTGTGATTCTCTTCCCAGGGCTGCTCTGTCTCACAGTGGGAGCCCAGGTGTTGTTCCTGAGGAAAATGGGACGTTGCTGGATGATGCCCATAATGTCAGTGAATGGCAAGAAGTTATCACTGGGGAAGAGATTCCATTTGAGTTTGAAGCCAGAGGGAAACTCAGACACAGGTGAAGTTTTGCACACTTACATATGGAACACGTGGGATCATAGTTGTGAGGGCACCAGCAGGTGTTGCATTAAAAGTAGATTTTTTTTAAAAAATCTCCTCTTAATATTTAGTTCTTATTTTTAAAGCTTTTCTACAGAGGGAAATGATGAGTTCTCCAGTAAGCAGCATCTATTGCTCTTAGTGGCAGCTGTTCCTAGATGTAATTTGGATTATTATGAGCTTTTAGAAAGACTTGGGACCCTCAATCAATGTCCTTTATTCTAAAGGACTGGGCCAAGGGGTGGTGTTGGTTGTTAAATGTAAGTGTTATCAGAGATAAGAACATGTTGACAAATATGTAGCACACTTCTGTTTTTGCTTATATGACATAGTTGTACTTCTGTGTGTTCATTAGGGAAGGTAGAACAATTAGACAGTTAGTCTGTCTTTATCCATGAAACAGAAAAACTCCTGAGACTTTTTAATGCTTCAGTGAGATTCTTTTCTCAAAATCCCTTGGTTTGAACTGTTTGGTGTTTACACTGTATAATAATGCTTAATTGTAAATTATCTTGGTCTGGCCTGGTAGGCACACACATGATCTGAGGATTCACCAGTTGCAAGTGAGAGTCAATGGCTGGGAAGAAGTGAGCCCAGTGTCTGTGGACAAAGTTGGAACGTTTTTCCGATATGCTGCACCAGATAAGAACTCCTCCTCCTCCACTGTAAGTTCTGATTTTGAGGGTTTTAGGAAAATGTATAAATGTATAATTTAAGGGTAATGATGGCTGCAAGATTTTGACCTAAAAGTAGCTGCTGTATGAGATTGACCTCTTTCCATTTAGCTTGCATTGGGAGAGTTTGGAGATGCTGGGTTCTAATTAGCAATTTAATGTGTAACAAAGCCCCAGACAGAGCAGTCAGCAGTTAGTCTGTGCTTGGCAGTCAGAGCTCCCAGGGACAGAACTAACATATTAGTGACAGGGCCATGGACTCGTGGAGACTGAGCTTTAAGTCAGCCCAGCATTTCAGCAGCTATTTTTATTTCTTTTATTGCAGGAATGCTTTTCATGTATTTAATTTACTTAAAATAAACAAAACTGGCAATTTCCTGTAAGCCAAGAGATTGTTGAAATATGTGGCTGCTTAGACAAAATATACTTGTCATGAAGGGAAAATGCAGTTGTAATAATCAGGCTGGCATTTCTTGGAGGCTCAGTGATAAAAATGATTTTGTGGATTTCAGAACTAGCTAAGTTTTGAAAGTAGGTACAGGAGGTTGTTGAACACTGGAGAAGTAGTTGAGATCTTTTTGGTATAAAACAGAATTTAATTTCAAGATACTACTGACAAGAGCCAGTGGTCTCTTATTTGCATTGTTTCTGGTGTTTTCATATTGAAGCATAAAAAGCATCATCTCTCTTTAACTTGAATATTGAAGGGAAAGGATGCAAATTGAGAATTGCTGTTCAGGAACGTCTTTTGGGGAATTCTTCTTTACAATAAACCCTTCTTTTAGCTTCATTTCTTTTTAAACCAGTGTTACAAACAGGCTTTGCTAATCTAGTTCTGACATGATTCCAAGCTGTACTGAAGATCAGAAGCACGGTGATGAAAGTTTATTCTTCTCTAGTAAGGTTCTATATTACAGCTGAAATCAATGTCTTTAAAGCTGAACAACTTTAACTTTCTTGTTTACTTTCCTCTCAGCTTGGAAGCCCAATAAGTAGAACAAATATAATACATCCACAAGTCTACGTGAGTATCTATTTTCATTTTTTGAGAGCTACTTAAATAAGACCAAAGAATTCTACAAGTGAACTGGCTTTTCCATCCTTGTAGAACCTTCTCAATAGAAACCAAACAAAAGTCAAGCAAACAAAATGGACTTTCAAATCAGAACAAATATATGATTTTCCATTCCTCACTAGTATAAACGTTTTAAGAATGGGTCTTAAATTCCAATATGTGAATTCTAGCACGTAAATGCTAGAATATGAATTGTTTTTTTCAGGATTGAATTGGCAATGACTTCATGTAATGTAGGAGGGAAAACACCACAGTAAAAGGGTGAAGAAAATGTGGATATTTTAAGAAAACTTTATATTATTTTCTAGTTTAGACAGAGGGAGTAAGTGACTGTTAAATATATAAGACTTGGAATTCAAACTCCATGGATTTATAAAATAATGTAGTAGTGAGGTGATGTGTAGTCTTCTTTTAGGATCTCTGTTACTCTTAGTTGAACTTCCATTGTTTTGAAAAAGCTAATGGAGTTAGTGGTATGTAGAATTGCTTTCTCATAGTTAATTTTACTGGGTTTTGAGGGAGAGGTACAGGAGTTTAAGGGATTATTATTATGAAACTATATAGACCCGAGGAGTTGCACGTGGTTGGACTCAGTTTTCCTCCAGCAGTTACTGCTTCCACATTGAGGTGCCCCTCTTCTAGATATATTCATTACCTGAGCTTTTTAATGCTTTTAAATATCTTCCAGTTTTCTTCATTGCCTCCAGTTCGTGTGGTGTTTGAAGTCACCCTGGAGGGCGGTGCCCGGAAGGTGATAACGGTGCGCTCGGCCTTGATGGTGAAGAACAAGCTGGAAACTCCAATGGAACTGAGACTGGACAGTCCTTCTGCCCCTGACAGTAAGTGCTGGGAATTCCTGGGCCCTGAATTCCTGTAGTATTCCATACATGCTGTGGGAAGTGTAGCTTTCTCCCCAAGAAGATTCGCCACTGTCCGTGATGGTTCACACCTCCCTGGAGAGAAAATGGGTGTTGTTAAGAAGGAAATAATCAACAAGGTGAACTAGAGGATCCATTAGGATTTTTCCCCATCAGGGAAAGCTGAGACTGTGTAAATACTGCATCTTATTTCTGTGTGTAGCAATGTTATCTCTTTTAACAGCATTCTAGAAAGTTTTGCCTGCAGAGGTGTAGTGTAGAAATGTTGTGATATGTTGACAATGTACCCAAAATGTATAAGGAATGAGTTTTTTTGAAATAAACATTTTCACTAAAGCATCCAAGGGAAAAAGAATTTAAATTCCAGCAAGTTTTTGGGCTGTTTCACCTAAATTTGTCTGCTGCCAGATTGTTAATAGAGCTGAAAATAACTGGTTGGTGTTTGAAATGTACATAAAGTAGGAAGTGATTTATATTAAAGTGAAATGGGTTGCTTCAAAAATTTGAGACGCACTACTTCAAAATTTTATGGTTTTCAGTAAAGGGGCCTGTCTTGATATGTGTGTGTTCTTCTCTGCTTGCAGAACCTGTGGTCCTTCCAGCAGTTATGCCAGGAGATTCCTTTGCCATCCCATTACATCTGACATCCTGGCGTTTGCAGGCCAGGCCCAAAGGAATGGGAGTCTTTTTCTGTAAGGCCCCAATTCACTGGACTAATGTTCAGAAGACAACAGAGGTGTGCAGCAGCAAGAGGGAGTGTCACTCCATGGAGTCTGAAAACAGCAGGTTTTTCAGGTAATTAAGACCTAATTCTTTTTCTGTAAGCTCTGTTTTCTTCTGAACTAATTAACAGGAAAGAAAATGCTTAGAGGTGAAAGCTGCTGCAGCTTTAATGGGAGGTTTTGTTTGGTGTGTTAAGAGGTGAGGAAGCAGTGAAGTGTAACTGCTGCATTTCTGCAGGGCTCCTTGAAGCCCCTCTGAGAATACAAAGCACAGTGTTAATATTTATGGTAAAAAATAAAAGATTAGAAAATAGAATGTAGACTTAAATTAACTGCTCTGTCTCACTGAGGATAACAAGTGCTTTGCCAAAGGAGTGTTCACAAATACTCATTCTTTATCTTCAATGTCCTGTGCTCTGTTCTAAGTCCAAAAATGTTGCTGCATAGTAAGGACTAAATGGAATTTTGTGGTTTTCTGATATGGTTGATTTAGGGTTGCTCTGTATTTAGGAAATACTAGAATAGAGATTATGGAAGCTGCTCAGGAAATGACCTTTGCACACCATGTGGTTACTTCTGTGTGTCAGCTCCATAGTTCATTTCTTAATATGCTGCTTTTGAATGTATCACAGGGAGGCAAATGCACAAATTATTTAAAATGAAGATTTACTTAGTCAATTTTTTCTTAACTAATGGAAAACCAAAGTGTCAGGTGGTCAGAGGAAGGATGTATCTACTGGGAAGAAGGACACAGTCAGCATTTATGTTTTAGAAAATGGTTATATGTACTTTTAATAGTTAAAATCTCTTAGTAATAGTTAAAAACATATTTTTGCAAGTCTATGGAAGCCGCTTTTATAGTTGGTAACCTGTAAAAGCCATTTTCTGTTACATCTCTGAACAGACCAGGTTTTTCTGAGTGACTAAATTAAGTCTGATTAAAATCAGGAAACTCCTGTTATCTTAATGTTAGGCATAAATACAAAATACCTTATGGTCAAACAACAAAGTGATTAGGTGAAGAACAACTCTAAATGCTGTTTTTCTTATCAATTCTGAAGTTAGAGCATGTTAGAGGATTTAGTGCAATACAGAAAGATAGGATTCAATTGCCTGCCAAACTCATTGACTCCTCCTGTGTCTGCCTTCCCAGGTTTTGTGTGGCTATAAAGAAGGAGGATTACCCTGATTACATGCCTTCCAGCATTTTCTCTGACAGTGCTAAGCAGATTTTCAGGCAGCCTGGGCACACGATTTATCTCCTGCCAACGGTGGTGATCTGCAACCTGCTCCCTTGTGAGCTGGAGTTCTACGTGAAGGGTTTGCCCATCAGTGGAACCCTGAAGCCTGGCAAAGAGGTGGCCTTGCACACGGCTGACACGTCCCAGAACATTGAGCTCGGTAAGGTTCTTGTCCAGGTACTGTTCTCTGACCCTCAGTGTACCTCAGTACCTCAAAGGAACCTTTATCTAAAAGGAACTGTGGTGCAGAATAGAAAAATTTAAAAATGGACAGCATTTATATGATTATTTCATTGGCTTGCAGGGCTTCTTATATTTAATAACCAAGTGCACACATTCAAAAAAAAAAAGTACTGATATTGCCATCATTCCCCCAAATCTGTCAGCTGTCTTAGTCTGTTCCTTGTTCAGCTCTTTTCTTGTTTTCCTGGGAGTGGAAACAGAAACTGGAGAGATCAGTGATAAAGAAGGGAAATAAATAAGTTCCCAATGTTTTGGGTGGCTTTGCTTGTTTTTTTTCTAACAGAAAAAGTTGGTGTTGAAAAACTGTACAGAATTATTCAACACTGGCTGGAGTTGTGATGCCTAAAGCAATAACTAGCCCTAAGCAGGCTTCCTTACAGAACCTTTTTTGTTGTTTGTGACCTAAATTGTGGCATTTCTTCCTGAGGTCAGAGTTTACTACGCTGGGC